ACGATGATAAACAACTGGCACTCGTTGAAGAACCTCTAAAAAAGACGTTTGATGAAGTATCAAGTAATCTTACAAAATATTTATTTTTATTTTTACTTTTGCTTAGGTTACGATCGACAAAATAAAATCTTGGATAGATAATGAGAAGCCTTCTAACTTGGAAAAAATGTGTCTTTTCAAAGGGAGAATTATATTCAAAATGTAATTTTAAGCATCATTTCATAAGTCTAACCCGAGTATTAAAGTGAATGTGTATACATCCCTGATATTGAGAGAGAGAGAGAGAGAGAGAGAGAGAGAGAGAGAGAGAGAGAGAGAGAGAGAGAGAGAGAGAGAGAGAGAGAGAGAGAGAGAGAGAGAGGGTCAGTTATTTGCTGGTTACAGAGACGTTCTGGTTATTCATAATTCTGTGTGTTCCGCAATATTGTCCCGCCTCTAAAAACCAAAGCAATGCTGGGTCGTTTTTGACGCAAATCTAAGCTTCAATATTTTTAGCTCACCTGGCCCGAAGGTCAACGTGCGTCCGTCAATCCGTCCAGCGTCAACATTTCTATTTAAATGACTTCTTTTGCAATGACCAGCATGCCAAATGTCATGGTATTTGGCTAGTGGAGTGCTGGGATGAAGCCTGAAAAAGTTTGCGAAAAGAAATTACCTTGAACCATGTTCAAGGTCACATGGGTCAAATTAGTTTTAACCTTAAAGCGACTTCTTCTGAAAAACCATAAGACGTAGCAGTATGGTATTCGCTAGATATATTTCTAGAATGACAAAGTTTGGAAAAAGAAATGAACTTGGTCCTTGTTCAAGGTCACAGTTAAAAGTTTAAAAGTTAAAATCTTAAAATTACTTCTTCTGTCTAACAGAAAGTCCCAAATGCATGGTATTTGGCTGTTAGATGCCAAGGAAGATGACTGACCTTTACCCATATTGAAGGTCACAGAAATAAAAAAAAATTTGAAAACTAAAAGATTTTGTCTGGTAAACCAAAAGTTCGAGAAATATGATGTTTGTTGGAAAGGTGTTTTTATGTCAAAGCCAAACAAATTTCGAGAAAAAAAGAAATAGCATTTATTGAAAACAAGCTTATAACTGTCACTTTTCGAGCCGGAACAAGATTGTATGTGACCACTTTAAATGCCAATGGCATATATGTCAATATAACATTGATTTTAACACCGATTATATTTTTGATAAACATTTGATACCAGGTGAGCGATGCAGGCCCACTTGTAACAAAGTAGGCGTAAACACACGTACTTGTTGGTAATAGCCATGTTTTTTTTACATGTTGATTAATAATAATGTTACAAGTACAAATGCAACATCTCATCAACATACAGAGTACTAATACTAGTACTTCACGTTGTGTCTCGTATCAGAACTGTCCATCTGGTGGGCTCTCCCAAGGCCGTGTCTTCTAACCTAAAGATTCCCCCTTCTATCTTACTCTGGACCAAGCTTGTCCTGCCATCCCTAATATGGACTTCACTTGTTGCTAGATGATACGATTGTTGAAGTATAGCCACCTGTACTCGAGGTGCAAGGTTGAGATTCCCCTTGCTAATTTCTTACTTGAAATAGACCCTAATAATTACTCTACTACTAGACGGCCATTGTCCGAACGGGAAATTGCATAAGTTTGATTATCAAGGAAATGGGCATAGTCTCTAATTAATTAACTGGCCCAAGCTGTAAACCCACTGATATGATTATCGGGGTCCTGACTACACCAACCTAAGTGTATATATGCAAGTAATTATCCACACCCCTGTGAACTACCTATATGCTTTATATTGATAAAATTTATCAACCAATCAATCAAAGATTATTGACTTATGTATCTGAGTTACACTAATACCGAAACCACATTTTTAACAATATATCTAAACCCTATTGTGTTACGCACTTGGCCTCCTTGTCATGAACATCTTTCTGTCAGTTTTGGCAAGTTTTTAAATAATACTTGATTTTCTCAAAACGAGAGTATGCATGCCTGACACTGTTTTGTAAGATGGCGGCATTATTTATAGCATACTACTGCCACCAGAGGCCTCTGATAATCCTTTGGAATATTTCCAAGTTAGAAAACTAGGATTGGGAGTAACAGCTAGTTTCTAAGGCTGTGACAATAGGCTAAAACCGTAACTGCGTTTTTATCACAGCACAGCGTTCATTTGAGTGTAAACTCAATCCACTCTCTAAAAAGTAACATGTTACTAAAACCATGTATGAATTATTGGCCTGCCAGAACGAATAAAACTCCCAAGGGCTTCTATGAATTACTCTGAACATTAAAGTATAATATGGCAATCTCTTGCATGCGTTTCATTTGAGATTACTAATTTAAACTTTTCGCTCTATTGGTTGACCGTTTTTGATGTTATCATCGTGTTAATGATATTAATGGCGTGGAAACGCGCCTCTGAGAGGTGCCTTCTCCTTTAACACATTAATGTTTTAGAAGTTTTCAATTGTGTGTATGTTGTTGTCGGCAGGTACTGATCAGTGTTACGATATTTATCGTATAAAACCGTTGAAACATTGCTTACACTTAAGATACTACTACTCTTGACACATTGGGCGAAAATGAAGTTCGCTTTTGCAATGTAAAACTATCGTGATTGATATCTGTCATCATAACAAAGAAACAATTAAATATTTTCTCTGTTCATTCATTCATTTACTGATGTAATATATTTTATTCGACATGGATATCTATGTGTTTTTGATTTTTTATATTGTGTATCCCACTCCTGGACTACTGATGTACTCGTTTTCACGTGTCTTCAATGTTTCTGTTTCTGACTACGTTGGCGATGTTTTGGTCGTGCACGAGAATATAAAAAGTTCTGTTATTTGTGCCTCAAAGTGTGAAGGGAACTGCCTTTCAGTCGCCTACAATCCCGCGACCAATAGCTGCACAACATACATCAGGGAATTGTGCACCGATGATATTGAATCCTTAGTCGTTAATTTCTTTGTTAAGAAAAGACCCCATCTGGTGAATTGTAAGTATACATCGCACAGGTGAAATTAATAAAGGCCTCTGATACAATGGGCCAGGATACAACAGATTCTATTTTACGTGTTATATTTATGTAATAGTATAAGGAAATTACGGTTTTAACACAAAATGATCAGTGTCTGGTTGATTGCACATAACTTAATAACTGAAATAAAATAATACTTTTTATCTTAGAGTTTTCAGTCAGTTGCCAGTGCCGAAAATTAAAGGTGTTTAGGATGTTCATACGGTTTGCTTGATTTGTATGAATTAGACTGAAATTTTATCTGTAATAGCATTTATTGTCATAGAGATGTTCTGCCACACTCCCAGAAACGCTTGTGACGGAGTTGGTAGAGTTGCTAGCGAAGTTTGGCGCGTTTTAATGCGCTGGTGCCCTTGGCTTACTCTGTTGGCGAGAGACATGTAAAGGGGCCACTTGTTTTATGTAATTAGTACCAAGCATTACTGTGTTGAAAAATGATGTTATTATTGCGGACAAGCACCACAACGACAGGTTTGAAATCAGCGTAGCTGGGTATTGATTTTCATTAAGATCAACAGAGCGAAAAATTGTAGTCATTTGCTCTGTGGTTTGTATTTTTGATCGAACGATGTCATCGGTTTTCATGGCAATTCTTGAAATGTCATTAAATTTATTAATCTTCACAAATCATTAATTTCCATACATGATGTATTCTGTCACGCTGTACACATCCACCCGGTATGAAGATTCCGGAAAGAAGCGGACATATTACTTAACCCCCTTTTTCATTCTGAGTATGATTTGCGTATCCGTTCTCCGCCAATCGACTTCCATACGGAATACCTAGATATATGGACTAGACGATAGGATATCAAATCTCCTGCGATACATTTTACACTTGATAGGACGAAGCAGAAATGCTAAATACAATTAGTGTTTGGAATAGGTTTTAGTGTCATGCTTTATTAGTTTGGTTCTGTGTAACCGACCAATAACCATTATGATCGGTTAATAATCTTAAAAAATACAGATTGTGTACTGACTTTATAAAAAGAAAACAATGATAAAACAAATGTGTTTGTTCTCTCTTTCATTAATTCAAAACAATCAAAACCAGCATGATAACTACGGCTATCCGGTCTAACTGGAAATCAACTCCTAAAATTCTTTATTGTCATAGTGTCAAGTATCAGACTAAACAAATTTTTAAACTGCAGAATGAGTAAAAACTGAATTATTCTTATACAACAGTTATATTTCTTCCGCTACGTCGTCATCCTTTTACGATAGATAGAAATACAGAAATTTGAAGGAACGCGTGTTTAGCTGCGTCAAATATGAATGATTACTTACAGATTCTACAAGTTAGTTTCAAATAAATTTTAAGAAAATGTCATAATAAATTTATTTGAAACGGACATACATATTGTACATTTCCGTTTCAAATAAATTTTAAGGAAAGGTCATACTAAATTCATTAGTTCATTTCGCGAATCATACAATTGCAGATATTATCATTAGAAAATCGTTTCGTTTCTTTGTTGGATTAGCAAAATGTACACCAAAAATGATTATATGGAAACGAACAGACATACTTAGGCGATTGCGATGACATATTGTACATTTAACTTGATTAAGTGTTTATCAGTGACACCTTTTTGTTTTATTTCGAGGATTTCAATGGGGACTCAGATATTTTTTTTATTTTTTATGTGTTCGATTATGGGAAAACGTAGTCGATTATGTAGTCATTTGAGGTGGACAAACGGTCTTCGATGGTTTCAATTAATTTGAATTCAACTGTAAATAATAAAAGTAAATTTTATAATTACCAGATTGAAATAGTCGCTTTACCACATATAGATTCTTTGTAGGAAAGCATAATTCTATAAACCCTTATGTTTTGTTGTAGATCCATCCGACTGCAGTGAAGTGAATCATAACTATTGCAGTATCAATATAATCAAGCCAATCCAAGCATCCAATCCTTATACCGTTAATTGTGACATGGAAACCGCAGATGGACCCTGGACGGTAAGACCCTATGACACATATTGTGCTATCGGAACAACTTTCCTTGTATGAGATGAATGGTCGACGTTGTTAAGTCACCCAAAGGAAGGGGGGGCGGCTTATTGTTGTTGTTCTGTTACTTTCTGATTATTAGACACTTCAACGAAGTAGGAGGCTTATTGTTGTTGTCTGTTTCTTACTCATTATGCAGTCACCTCAGCGAAGTCTGGGGACTTATTTCAGTTGTGCCGTTTATTGGTAATAAGTATTTACATACAATGTCTTACTGTAACTTAAATGTCTAACTCCCCGTGTGTATTGTCGATTTGAAAAGAAAAAATGTTTACAACATGTTTGCTCCGTTTTAGCCTTCGTTTTTTTTTTTTTTTTTTTACAGAAATATGAATATTGTTTTAAATTAATCGAGTAGAAATGTGTTCACATTAATCTTGATATCTCTCCTACCACGCCGAGTGGACAAATCGCCTAACCGTCTCTATCACTATCCCTCCATCACACAAGTTCGAGCCTTTGAACAGTCGTTAGGTATTGTCGGTGGTTTTTCTCAGCGGATTTTCTCCGCCGCTCAAACCTGGCACGTCCTTAAATGTCCCAATAACAAGCTCCATTGAAATCATGGCTTTTTCAGAGTTGAGGTTACCAGTATATTTGCATACTTTCACTATTTATTGAATGTTTAAGAAGCACCTCTATACATACATAAAGGGATTTATTTCAATTCATCATCTGTTATTGAATAATATTCAATAAATATGTAACGTTAAAGGGAGATAATTTCAGACAAAACGCAGTCAATGTCTGGTCTCTGATTGGTCGAAATTTTTGACGCTACAAACTATTTAAGAAGGACCAGATTGTGTTTAGGTCGGGTCGTGGGGTTGGGATGACTTCCGCTATAGTTTGCAATTGGAAGTCTGGTATACCTTGTTCTAATTTGGAAACGTGATGTTGCTTACTTGATTTGATGAGTAACATGACGGGTGTTGTCAATGATGCAAAGACGCTTACCTTTCCTGAATACCTAGTTCTATTTTTCTTGATCCAATTTTCACACTTTGCCGTGATTTTATCGAATCTTAATTTTAATTACAAATCTGTTGACATGTCAATATCATCTACTAGCGTTTCCATTTACCTCAACATCTTGTTTACAAAAAAAAAACAAAAAAACAAAAAAGAACACATAAAAATCAAAAACAAACAAATGAAGGTAAACCCTAAGCATGATATTTTAATTTCATTTGCTCTAAACAAGGACTTAAGTACAACAATAAGTTTGTCCAAAAAATATTTCATGAACTCTGTTTTCAAATTTCAGTCATTTAATCAAGGTATTGGGGATGGATAGCTGAGTCTGAATAAAAGTAATCAAAATATTATCTGTTACAGGTGATACAGAATAGACAAGATGGACAGGTGGATTTCTACAGGAAATGGGCGGACTACAAGAATGGATTCGGAGACAAGAATGGAAACTTTTGGTTAGGTATGTATCATGGAGAGGACATATTCAGTCATGATTACCTTAAAAACCACAATAGGTGGTTATAACACTGCACGTGAAAAGGACAACAATATCTTGACAACATCATATAGCACGAGAAATGTTTAAATTTTAATTATTAAACATTCATTCCCTCACATTATATCTATAAACTTGCAAGACTTGAGGCAATCCATCAGCTTACTCAGAAGCCATCTGTCTTGAGAATCGAACTGACCTCTTGGCTTGGTGATTCTGCATATGCTCAGTATTCCACCTTCAGTATTGCTGATGAATCCAAGAATTATAGACTTTCTAAATCAGGGTTTTCAGAAAACACGTGTAAGTTTAACGATAACAATGACCATTTTGTATATTTTGTTGATTCAATTTTTTTTCTTTTTGAAATGCAAATGTATGTCAAACTAAAATGATACTATACAGTTTTATGACGATCGGACAAGCATATGCAGTTAGTACAATACAGTAAATTACCTATCATATGACCTTCTATTAACTCAGTGTTTATCTTTATTAAATTCACAGGAGTGTAGATACATGTACATTCTTGAACACAAGACTATAGTCATGACGTCATTTTGGTGTCATGCTAACATACATAAGACATATCATAGTGTAACGTAACATAACGTAAATTATGCAGGTGGTTATGATTTTCAGGTAACTTTTAATGTAATATAAATAAAGGAACAAACTTAATAACAGATGATAATTAAAAAACACATAGATGTTTCAAAATAATATCCGATCGACGTTATCGCTATCTGTCAACCATATTTTATTCCTATTAATAACCAATGCAAACCGACGACCACTCAGTGGTGATATAGATTATGTAACTTTGCATTATTGTGGTTGATACAACATGTAGTAAACGTTTTCCAATGGCGGACCTACGTTACTTTATAACAGTAAATGCCATTTTCTTTCTCATGTGTTAAATGCTATTATCCTTATAATTCACATAAACGATTCTTAAATTTAAGTATTCATTATATTTGTACTGCATATTAAAAATTTCGGCATTATTTAAAAGTAAGGAAACTGTTAACAGGTGAAAAGTAAAATAACTGTGACGTAAAGCAAAATATTTCATTTCGTTGTGTAAAACGGAACCGCATCCTTAACTAAGGATATATCAGTGACGCGAAAATAGATCTCAATCAATGAACAATTTAAAATACAAAATCCTGAAAAGTAGGTCGTTTTCACAGTCCAATACCACCAATGCTTTTGGGATATTTATATAGATTTTGGTTTGTTTATTTCAAATTCTTCAATATATATGTATGAACATTGTTTTTCGTCGACATTCTATACACCTCTGTTTGGTCTACAATGACGAAATAAAGGAATTTATTCGTTTTGACGATGAAATATGAAATTATTATTTTCATTAAAAAATAAACTGACCGCAGTAATAATTTGACGTTCCCATGATGATTTTAGTATCGAGAAGAGGAAACGATGACGATGGCAAATCATACCATAAACATGGATCTATAGTTTTCATATCAGTGAATTATATGTTATATTCTGTATCTCGAAGGGAAAAGCAAAGAGATCTATCCAGTCATAACGATCAAAAATTAATCTTTATAACTTTCTTTTTCATATGTTGTCAGCTGACGCAATGGCCTACCATAATGGTTCACCATTCTCTACATACGACAAAGAAAACAACGCAAATGCTTGTGCCAGTCGTTCGTCAGGCGCTTGGTGGTACAAAAATTGTTTTTGGAGTAACGGAGTGCACAGCAAAGATGAAAATGGAGGCATGATTTGGTGTGTGTTCTACTCTGTTCCAGGGTAAGTGTATATGAAGAAAACAAGAATGCTCGTGAAACTTGCAAGTGGAAAATGATAGCTAAAACGCATTATTATCTCTCTAGAAGTTATCGAATATTTAAAAATTTCCTATTTGGTATCATAAATATGGATATATTCCGTCATACGAGTGAAATATATTTTAAAGGGAAACCATTAATTTGTTTCCCTTTTCATTATATTTTTGAAGGAAACAAAACACGGAAAAGGTAAATACCAAAATAAAATAAAGCGATGTCAAAAATAGTTTACATTACGCTTGTTAATAAAAGGATGTCATTTCGAATAAGCAGTCTAATGTTGCAGTTCTATATTGTTAGTCGCTTAAATTAGCAAGGAAAAGTCAATATACATGGATATTATTCGAGGGAAAATCAACTTATGACATCGGCAAATTTCACTGCAGTTACTAGAAAGCATTGTTCTAGTTGGTCAAAACTACGGAAGTTATATCGTCACTATATAGGAAATATAATTCAGGTTTTATTTTCATGCGGGTAAATTCCTATATATCACCTGAAAACATGTAATAAAATTATTTGAAAAGGAACGCGTTTCGGGGTATTTTAGAACTTGAATATCGATCAAGAATATCCTACTGTTTTCAATATTTTAAAACTCGAAGACAGGACTGAAAATATAGAAGACACACGGTGAGTGTCTTAAAATATAACCTGTACTTTGTAAGTGGCGAATCAGTGGCATATTTCAACCCTGAACCAAAATCCAACTTATATTTTAAGACATTGGCCTGTATTTCGTTCACTCTCTAAGACTGTTTGAAAATGAGACAATCGACACTTCAATAGTTTGTTATTCAGTCTCTGTTTACGTACTGTTGACGTTACGCTAAATTTGCCATATGCCGCCAAATTAATTGTTCCGAAAATATAGCTCCTAGAATAGAATATAACAGCAATTTCGTGAATTTTCGTAAAAAGATTCCATAATACAATACTTGTGTTGAAACAATCATTTATAATTTTAAACGTAATATCTAAGAAAATTCAGAAAGCAACTGTATCGAATTAAAGCACCCTCTAAAATACAGCTTATTTTCTTCAATGCCGAAAACAGCTAAAATATCTACGGCAGGTATATGGTAGTGCCAGATACAGGAAAATGTAATACAATTGTATTTTTTTATACATTTTATCAATTATTTACTAACTGAGAAGACAAGAAATAGAGACAACAGGGATCCGGCTCATTCACTTCAAAGAATAAAAAGAACAGAAATATTACGAAAAAGCTGACGTGCTGTGTTTAACTATATGATTATCAGTGGAGTTACAAATAGAGATATGCGAATCATTAATTGATCTGTTACAAAACGGATGACAAAAATCATTCAAAACAGCCAGGCGGAATTTGTTTAGTTACAACTGCGTACTTTTTTATATTTGTTCATCGTATCATCAAGTGCAATGAGCTTTTGTGAAAAGATTTTATAACATTCAATTATTATTGAATGGAAATGTTAATGCCTAACGTAACGGCTCTGATAGTTATCACAAGTCATCAGAAATTAATCATTCTCGTTGCGAAGTTAACTTCTATGTATTTTTCTGTATGATAATTCATATTTGACACAAGACATCAAGGATGATTTATTAATATGATAATGTCCCTCATTATGAAGATATTTAGCACATCTACTTAAGGAACATGAGAACACAAAGACAATTAAGATTATATCAACCTCTGTTAAAACGGTGAAACAGTTTAATATAAAAGAGTAAAGCAAAATGGAATAGTACTGTCCTAGAAGCATTTTAATCCACTGGCGTTAGATTTCATGGGTTACTAATACCTTTATGACAGTGATCATGTGACAGGATGTTAGCTGCTTTACTTTATCAAATTAGGATTTAGGTGTAGCATTATAAGATAAGAATTTTTGAAGAGTTCCTTTCTTATGCTAGCATGTTTGTCGCTCAAAACTTTATGGGAGAGGTAGTTTTGTTTTGAGTATCTACATTGTTGAGGTCACCAATATAACCGTTTTGTATTTTCGAGATATATAGACTTACAACATAGTAGCAATACTACTTGCGATGCATAACAGCATATTCTTTAAATTTTCAAATGTTAAGGCAGTTTAAAAAATGACATCAATACTGTCACTAAAAATTGTTTTTGTGTCTTTTGATTTGATGGATGTCTTACCTAGATTGACTTGTGGTATCGTTTTCTTAGCGCAGGTCTTTCGACGCTACTTGGTTCCTATATCAAACGTTTGTTTCAGCTGATGTTGAGCTAACCTGGTCCGAAGGACCGGTGAGCGTATGCCCTGCCGTGATGTCCATCATCCGTCGTCCGTCTTATTTGTTGGAAATTGCTGCTTGTCATGAACGCAGCAGATATTGACGAAATTCGCTCTGAAGCATAATTGGGGAAGAGAATTAAATTTGTTATAAACGGTAGGTTTGCTTCTCCAAGGGCCTGAGCTTGGGCGGAGTCCAAAATAGGACATTTAGCAAGGAATGTTTTTATTTCTGCAAGAACTCCTGGATTCTGTCCCAGTTAGGTTTGAAGCGACCTTGGGCGCCCCCTCCCTCCCAAGGAAGGAAGGGCAAGGCCAAGAAGGGAAAGTACGGCGAATGCTTTAAAATCATTCTTCTGAAGGAATTTCTAAATTCTGTTCAAATCTGGTCTGAAGCATCATTTGTGGAAAGAAAATGAATTTTTTATAAAACGATGGACCAACAAGAGAAATAGTGCAGCAAATTTCTTTAAAATATTTCTTCTGTAGGAATGGCAGGATTCTGTCCGAATTTGTGCTGAAACATCTTCGAGTGAAAGAAAATCAATTTTGAATAAAGAATGTCAGGATTTGTAGGTGTGACCTCTTTTGGACAAATTTGGTCTGCAGCATTTTAGGGTAATGGAGAACTAACCGGATGAGCAGGACCAAAAAAAGGTAGTAAAGCAAATAATTTAAAATCGTTTTTTCTTTTGATTAGACATTGTTCAAATTTGGTCTGAAGCATCCTTGGTTAAATAGCACCCAATTTTGTATAAACGGCGAAAATGACACCCTTAGAAGCCGAGGAACAGCCAAACAGGGGAAATAAAGGAATACGTTTAAAAATCCTTCTTCTTCCGGTGAGATGAAGGTTATATTTCAAATATTTCTGAGGCATCCTAGAGTAAAAGAAAACCAATTTTGTATAATTGTGGTAAGCCACCAGAAACCTGAGAGGTGTGGCCAGAAATGGAGAATGTTGCAAACTCTTTAATCATCTGTAAGAATGATTGAATTTCGTCCCTATTGGAAGAGTTCTTCGATAAAGGAAACACAGAGTGTTGTATAAACAGTGCATACGACACCTTGTGGTGGAGCCTAATAGGATACAGAAGTAAAGTATTGAAATACTTTCCCTTTGGTTTAGTTGAAGAAATTTCTGCTAATTAAACCAGGTGAGCGATACATGCCCTATGGTACTCTTGTTCCTGTATCGTCTAGCATCTACGAAAAGAATTGGATATGACAAACATTAAATGTCAAAATACAAGATGGCCGCCTGTCGGTAATTTTGTTACCTTGACCACCAAAATCGACTTGGATGTAGAACTTCATGTTACAACATGATAGGAATATGAATTAAATCTGTTAAGAGGCTTATGAAATATCTTATACCAATTTTGTTTTAGTTTTAAAAGAGGCCTAAGGTAATCTTTGACATTAACCTTGACCAGTGACCACGAAACTCTATCAATCGTAGCATTTGATGATGGTGTTTGAATATGGTGAGAATATTAAATATGTCAAAGGGTCGATGGAATGTTTTGTACACAATTTATTTTTTAATACTATCATCATTATTTAAGCTCGTGAACGTTTAATAATATTGTCTCTCTTTTTGTTTTTTGGTTTTTTTTTTTATTTTTTTTAATTTGTTTTGTTTAATATGTGATCATTAAATTACTATAGAAATGAACCCTGAGAGTTTAGTTTTGTATATGTTCAAATAGTGCTTTTAACTGGTTCAAAACTTTAATTTTATTACAAAAATTACTTGAATAAATACATGTAAATAGTTTGTTTATTGACTCGTACAACTAAATCAATCACTTTATGGTATAACGGGCAAAAAGTTATTTTATATACCCTCCTGACAAGATGTACAAAAATAGATCCCATATCTCGGGTACATAAACAGAGTAGAAATGAAATATTAATACGTCGACAAACTGTGGTGTAAAATATGGTGCTTCAACAAATACGGATACCGTATGTAATTACATACATTACCAAAATCTCCCTTAAAACGGCCAATATTAAGTTACATTATGATCGATTTAGAGTGACGTATGCCTAGTGTATGAAAATAATGGTGTGAAGAGCAGACATAAACGGGATGATTATGTTCGTGACGTCTCGTGTGTTTAACATGTTTTCTGCTGTTTTGCCATTTCAGCATGTTTGTAACACTTCTTATATAATATTTAATCTTATTTTTGTTTTATTTCCGTTCGAATTGAAGAGTATTGTTTATAACTATTGTTTATTGTCTATTGACATACCAAATCAAATCAAAAACAGCCCAAAGAAACCATAACCTATATTTATTTTACAACAATTGAGAAACAATCTTTTACCACTACAACATATGTCCTTGAAGCCTACATGTGAGTGGAAAAATTACAATTTATGTGCTTATTGTCGGATAAAATCCTATGCTATTTCGTACAACACATGCGGCTTTTTCTTCTTCTGTCTTTACTACTGTTTTGCTTTCTGCATTTGTTCGTGACGTTTCGTATGCTTGTTTATATGCACAATCTCCCATTTCTTCATCCATGGTCCTTGCAGGGTGGTGTCGAACTCAGGATCACATTCCTCGACAAAAATAGGTGAAAATTACTGGACTGATACAATTTCAATATCTGCTAATTTTGATATGAGCAGAGATGGTATTCATCATCAACTCGAAAGTCATTTGTAACACAAGATATTTCTTCGTCTATAAATGTGCTTTTCTGGAATGCATTTGATTTCCTAATTGCAAATATTAGTAGGGTTCAATTCGAATTTCGATCCTCTGTTTAAACAAAATGGAATCTTCATCTTAAGCAAGGCCTTCAGGTTAAAGATGGTTTAAATTGTGACCCTTTGATCCTAGGAGGAGGGAGTGGGGTGGAGAAGGGGGATTTTAAACATTCCCATTATGAAGAGGCCAAGGCCTTTTACTTATAAATTTTGTTCCACTTATAAAACAATGTTGTTCACAAAATAATATCGAATTTCTATTTTCTTACCAACGTTAAACTTTTTAAAAATGACAAATTATCATACACATTACCAATAATTGCGCTCATGTAGGAGAAATGGGTCTTTAAACGTGCTCTTCTACTAATTTATTAAAAAATGAAGTTTTGAACAAAGAACATGGTCTGGGATAGATTATGGTGGAAGATATACAACATGGAAAATTGAATAAATCTTCAGCATCGCTTCTCTGTCCCGACTCACGAATAGAGCCAATACCTTCTACTAAAACCCTTTTGTGTCTTGCTTGTGTACGTGCTTTTCAGAGTTTGATATAGCGAGCATTGATAATTATTTACACCAAGCTATAATAGCAGTAATGTAAATGTACAGAATAAGAGATAGGCAAATTTGATATTCTTGTAAAAAATGACAAAATAATGCACTTGAGACCAGTGGTTCCAATGCCTCAAACGTAACCAAAACAGCAGTTTGACTTTTGGCCTTGGTCCTAGATATATGTTCGTTAGCAGTTGTAAAATTACAAGACTACAAGCCTAATCGTTACGAAGAAATGTATCTGCATACCCACATAGGCACATTTTTACATTCTAAGTTGCCATCTCATAGAAAGCAAATGTTTTAATGCCAGAGGAAAGGTATGTAATACCGTTATATGAAAATTAGAAACTCGAGTAAATAAATTCAATGTTGATCAGAAGAATAACATCCAGATAGTTTCTATTAAATCAGTTCCCAATTTAAAGGTCCACAGTTACAGATACTCACAATTTCCATATCCTTAACAGATTCCTTTTGTAGGGAGGTGCGGTCTACGGCCACGAAAGAATCCCAGTCAATCTTGACATTATCGTCCGATGATGACCTCATAACAACGCCGTTCTTCATGCCCCATAAACCGTAAGGCTGATCAGGCCGCTGCCATCGCAGGTCAAGTGCCCAGCGTACCTGCTTCGACAGGTTAGGTAGACTGCAATTACATAGATTACATCAGTAATGTTGCTGTATTGCAGACTACACTCTTAGTAGTTTCGAAACACTAATATGGTATACATAACAGTGATCTTAGACGATGATAATCGATATTTTACACAATTGTTACACTAATCAAAATATATTATAGACAACTAACAAGCACCTCCTCTATGACAAAACATTTCTTTATAGACATAGATAATCCAAACTCAATACAATATAACTAGGGCAATATATGAACAAAGGAAATATTATCACAGAGACTCCTGAAAAAAAGAACAAAGAGAATAAGACCATATGTTCCGGAAGAGTTAACGTCTTCTGCTTGGAAATCATGTAAAGCTTAGTAACACCAAGTAACTAATGTCACGTTCCCAAATGACAAGGTACACAACAGAATCCAGACTGTATGTAGGTAAGGACCATTGAAACCTACCTTCTATGTGGCGTGGCATTGTTGAAGAGAAGGAACCCGCCGTAAGGTATGGGACAGGTGACGGTGTCCTGGACCATGTCTAAACCTAAGTATATAGTCACGCGTTAGTTTCGCTGGTCAAACAAACGGTAAATTAATCAAATCATTTTTAAACATAGAGTTGGAACAAAGATATTTATCTAACAAACCTAATGCATATAGCATGAGATTATCTTGTAGGGAAAACAATGATTCCTACCATATATTGCTAATCTGTACTCTCCACTTGATATATTCTTTGATATAGATATAAACGTAGGTTTCTAGGCGAGACAAACAATATACTGATATACTCATTATGTGTTTTATGATCTAGTGACGTACGTACCAAGAGACTTCTCCATTTCCTCCTCTTCTAGCATAACGTACCAAGTTCCACCATAACAACATTGATGTGTAGCTATTTTCCCCGGACTGTGGCCACCTTTGATAACCTAATGGTAATCACGGCATTAAATTCATTAATTGATTTATTAATTAGTCTTCATTTCATCAGGTATTTAATCTGTGATGTTGCTTAAGTAGTCACCAACCAGCATTTCAAATAATGAATATCATCATACATACATGCGATCCATCAGACATGCGATTCGCATGGCCGTTCAATGGAGAGAAAACTGTTCCGGGTTTTTTTGTTTTTTGTTTTGTTTTCCAGAACTGTTCCGGTATGTTTTGCGTTTTCCAGAACTGTTCCGGTATGTTTTGTGTTTTCCAGAACTGTTCCGGTATGTTTTGTGTTTTCCAGAGCTATTCCCATAAGGATATCCACGTTATGTTATAAATCCATTATGCTCTATCAAGTGATCTCGATTTTTGACAGGAACAATTGCTACACACGCGTGTCAACTACCGATAACATTGTTTATATAAAAAAAACACTTTTTCTGACATTTTCCTTTTTTAATCTTTTAAATACATTCTAAAGTCTCTGTGAATCATTCATCACGACTGACAAAGACTTATCATTTCTTCACCGTGTTTCCTATTAAGGGTTCAAAAGCAACATATGGGTGAGGCAAACATGCAATACATTCATTTTTACCTGCATTCCACCATTAAACTCATCCGTGTCTAGCAGTGGGATCCAGGCGGTAGGAACCAGGACCTTGTAGGACTCGTTATCAAAGTAAGCACTATCTGTACAATGGAGCAAAGTACACATAACACCACAACTAAACACAATGTACACATTTAATACCATTAAGTACCAGGAATGTACCTGTAACCATAGCAAAGTACAATACAAGTTTGTCCGGAAATGGACTCCGGCCATTCCACTAGAATATATCTGTACAATATCATAGACAGATGGACAAATCTAGTCATTTTTAAGCTGTTTTAAATTTGTCTCAGCGACAGAAAGGAACCATATGATACCAAATTTTGAATTTACGTAAAGCTGTTATATAATTTATATGTTTGCATCAAAATGAATTTCATCAAAAAATGTATTACGACAGGTTCCTTACCAAAGATCGACATTTCGGACGTTTTATTTATTTGTTTTTGAAGAATGAAAACTGGTGACTCAAATTTCGCTTTCGAGGTTTTAGAACTCTATGAACAAATCTTAAGATATTAAAGTTTTGTTAATTTAAGTAGGATTTATCAACAACCTTGATGCCAGGGAACCACGGTAGCTTCGTTCCGGGGAGTTTTGGTACGGAGATTCCATACTGGAGACGAAGCAATATCTGGTCCAATCAACTGTTCGATGACGTTCAGCAGGCGCTCGTTAGACCACAAATCACGATAGGCCTGGTCGACAAGAAAATATCACAGAAGCAAACATGATATTTTTTCATTCTCTATAAATGATACTTTACAAAGAACTTAGTCATAATAAAATATCACAATGGTTTCGTAATAAAACCTATACAGAAATAAACTGGATTTGTGCAGCCGTATTTCGTTTTTAACAATTTAGTTAATTTGTTGAGAGCATGATAAAATGACAAACACTGAAATCAGAAATCTTGCGGAAACTTTGCATTATTCAGTTTATAATTCTACATAACTGAGACAATGTTGAGTATAAACAAGATATAGTACCTGTGGTAGTTCTCCTGTTTTGTGGAGAAGGATATTGGCTCCAGGAAATTCGGCATCTATCTTTGTCAGTCTCTCAAATAGGCCACACTCTTTATACAGATCTGTACATAAGCAACTTTACCGATCAGTGAACTACAATGCATTAATTACAGAAACTATCGCTTGGTGCATATTAAACATAATCAGTGAACAAAGAAAACTCAGCTGTAGCAAATTAATGAAGCATGGTAAAAAAGGACAACTTCAAGTATTTCAGATTACAGGTTTTAACATTAAAAACTGTGATGAGCTAAATCACTACGAAAAGCAAAACATGCTACAATTTTCTGTGATAAACAAAAGAATCACAAACGTATGTACCGTTGTCTACAAGCTACACATACGAACGACTACATACAACATTCGTTAAGTGAAAAAGTCCAATCGTTGCCATTGAGAAACAAAAGCGTCCAAGATACACTCAAAATGTATCATTCTGACATTACTCAACAATATCTACAACTATGAATGATTCATAATGCTCCCTATTTGCTTTGATTCATGTTTCAAAAAATTTACACTACACACTAGCCACAGTTTATCTCTAACCACCCTTTGAACCGCGCGTAGGTGGGGGTTCATTATGAAAAACAACCTAATATTTAAGATTTTTGTTGACGAATTAATAAAATTACCTAGAGAAGGAAGATTTCTTTACCTGAGAATAAAGTAACATTTCCATGACCGAGCGTAAAATACTATGTGGAAATAATTCATTTTAAGACTTACATACTGTGATTAAAAAACGGACAAAATGATTTTTTTTAAATTGTTACCTACATTTCCTAAATTATATGGTCTCGAATATGCATTTATTGTAGCATATTTACAACATCCATTAAATCCTCTATAGACCGAACGTGGCGACATATAAGATGGCAAAAATTAAGGATTGTCGCCGTAAATAAGTAATTTTATAACACCTAGACCGTTTCCTGTATGTATCGATCTCACTTTTGATCTTTCCAGCAGAGTAAAGTTTCTGAGCTAGCTTTTCCACTAAGCCCTCCGTCGCATCCCGAACCACGTCCAGTTCAGCTCTACTGAAAAAATTCTCAACTATGAGGAAACCCTGTAAAATAAACAGCTTATTTGAAACATTTGTGCTTTTTCAAATATTCCCCCTACTTTAAATTATTTTGTACGAGTGTTCTAGCCGTTGGCCGCGTGTATATGTGCATCACAAGCCACGATTTCATTTAAAGTATGGCTTTTTATTAAATTTTTTTCGCAAATATTGACCACGAGTAAAAAAACATAGGGACCAAACCCGTTTTGAGATATAAAATTTTATCTATACATTCACCTATGGCTACATGTTAACATTTTGTCCTTTTATTTGTAATACTGTGAAATTATTGCAATTTTTGGGAACAAGAGCTGTAGATAAATGCAAGAATCCTTATACAATCTTAGACTCAATTGTTCTGCCCAACAGAAATTATAAGTGATATGGAGCAAATCGGAGAGGAAGTATATTGATTTAGTTAAAAACGTAAAACATCTACGTCTCTGGATTAGTTTTAAATCGCAGAGTGGTTAGCACAATACACTTACGGCAACTTTCACATTATTTTCGCATAATTTATAATTCTAGAATAGTTCGCCAGTATTTTGATAATAGAAAAAAAGGGGAAAAAAATACCTACATCGGAAGTAAATCATGATTATATACTGTAGGGAAAATTTCCGTTCACTGGTCAGCAGTCTGGCGAATCACCACAATATCACACATACAAGATTCTAGCTAGACGTACAACAGTACATTAATCTTGAATATAAAAGATATTCATTACCATGTATTATTGTATACAGCCAGTCATCAGTATCATAACATATTAGTTAGCAATCTTCGATTTGTCATGTTTGCATACATGCATATCGTCATCATCATCATCATTATCATCCATCTGAATGCCAATAATACAACCATATATCATTAATGGCGATTGTCGCATTGTTGTGTCATTACGTACTAGTTAGTATTTCTTCTTTATTAACCAAACATGATCAGTCCTATCAACACGTATAGTAATTAATTAAAGTATGACGGATTCTGAATAGCTAGTGTTTGTACCATCATTAGTGGCTTTCCGCAGTAAAAAGGATATGTGTATGTGTGTCGAATTGTGGTTGAATTTTGCATTTCAAAATAAAATTATATTGATCTTCCATGTTGGATTTTCGACTCGTACAAAGACTTAATTCTCTCGATGTGTTATTGTTTCTATTGTTTCAGTAACTTATTACAATACACGTACATATTTGCTATTTTTAAAAGAACAAAATCAGATAACCATTATCTAACACATCAATTGACCGAAATAAATCAATTTCATCTTTACTACTTCCTAACATTTATCCTGCCAATAATATGATTTTCTTTCGTGCAGTCGATGTCATGCCTGCATTTACATAATTCTCGTAGGTCGGTATTGCTGTGATTTCATTTATTTTGAGGTATCACAACCAAGCGCTTTGGGGCTTCCATACAAAGATTGTGGAGGTCAAGGTGGCAATAGTATTTCTGCAGTTAACTCTCCAACTCTAAATGTCTATCGTTTACCTCTTCGAAGAACTGTTTGATCTTGCTTTCGGAAAGTTGGCCTGGTTTTTTCTCTTTCGGTTGTGGAGGCATTGCTCGCATGTCAAATATTTCAGGATGTGCCTCATCTACGGCCCCGCTGCAAATAACCGTGTCCGCCATTGTTAGTTGTGAGTCAGGCACGGGTTACGAGTTTTATCAACTGGATGATTTAGATAACACCAGTGTTATGGAAGGGAGACACTGCCGGCTTTCTCTAATTTATACAAATTTAAGGAATACAGATGCATTAGAAATTAGAAAAGTTAAGTTAGTGCGAATCATGTCGTCAGCTAATTTGTTTGCCTGAATTTCTAGTAGAATTTTGTAATGCCATAGTGCACCGGCTGACGTTGTGTGGGTTTGAATTTCACATTTATAATATCAGAAGGCCAAAAAGGGGCTGGTTAGCCCAAGTTTGTTTTAAGAATCTGACGACGAACGAATTAGGAATGCTAGTACAATAAGAAGGAGTAATAAACCATGTCGTGCCATCTGCCGGAGTTCGACCTAGCGACCATTTGGTCTCGTATCGGAAACTTTACTGATTGACATACAGGAAACCAGAGACGTATATATCCCCGGAAACGTTGACTTTCTGTAACCGAATTGAATCGTAATCCCTCTGATTTTTTCTTTATTGGGATGCTTAAGGCAAGAGATCGCAATATGGAATTTCCGCGAAACGCTAATATTAGTATAGTAGTTGTTTCTCTGGAGTCCATTTGTTTCCAATTACTTGTACTAGTTTTAGGAATTTTTGTCCTTTCAAGAATCCACACCGGTATTATCAGAGACGTATATGTGTTATATATGTCTCTGGTATTATTATAGAAGTTTCTGCATTTATAACAGCAAATGTCTACTCGCACGTAACATTTAATTAATAGTATAGTAATATTATTTTACAGTGAGCACAAGTTATGCAAAAAAGGGTTCGTATTTTCAATAAATCTCGTACAGACAACGGTTTATTACATTTGACTATACCGTACAAACATATATCTAATGAGTTCTGTGTCTCAGTGGACTGTGGATAAAAAACATAAATACGTCGTCAACTTAAAAAAAACATATCCACAAATATTCTACTAGGTACGGTATACGAAGCAACATTTTTAAAACCATTTTTAAAAGAAATATTGCTTAACCATCCTCGATACTTCAGAGGCTATGCTCGAGAGCGAAAGTGACCATAACCCCAGCAGTAACGAGGATATTTTTTTTTATTTCTCGGAAGTTCTGTTTGCTCCAGAGTTTAAAGACTACTCTTTATTTTACTGACAAGAGAAATATATATATTAAGAAATTAAATAAGGACATCTTGAAGGAATTTCTGGGATGTCACTTTGCTGATGTACATTATTAGCAATGGAACAAATGGACTAAACAGAGCAAGTCTATTTTTTGTTACGAGTATCATACGGTACAACTCAAATATTGTTTAGAATCATTCACGGCAAAGTCATCAATTATACCATATATTTAAAGACATATTTCAGCAAGCTTCTTTTTATCGTTATATAATTGACGTTGCTTCTTTCACGGTTGCTTATATTTCAGAATGCCGCATGGACATTTAAATCTACGTGTCTGTTAACACCTCCCATGTTCTTATTTCCTTCTGTAATTTTAAAATTAAACAATTGAAATAAATATGTGACGTATACTTCTCATATCTATTCGGTGGAAAAAAACAAATACAAAAAAAAAAAAAACTAACAAAAAAAAATTCTGTTCTAATTCAGGCCCGGAGTCGGTTTCAACATCGCTGCTGTGAGATTATCTATTTATAGTAAGTATAGTAAGAAGTCCATTCTGGTTAGTTTTCGAATACGAAGCAGCAAAAATGGAGTAATATATACATTTGATTTTGAATGCATGTCAATATAGCCAAACGCGGCATGGGTTTTAAATATTGTGTCTCTGTTGTGTTTATATTATCATACACAAATAAAGTTTCTCCTGCCATGATATTCCTACATCGTCTGTTTCATGACACTTTATATCTAGAAAACTCATATTTTTACGGGATGTATTGTGTATGCAAAAGAAAACAAACTGAAATCTTTACAAAAAGTCTCACATTTGATATTTTATGAAATATATATGGAACGGAAAGAATGAAAGGAGACTCACACGGAGAGTCTTGAAAAGGTGTAACATGAAAAAGACCGAGTGTTTCGGAAGGCAAGCATTTTAATTCTGCTTCATAGGCAATATCCACAAGTCATCAATTTGTCATCAACTTGTATCTCTCGAAATCTTGTGTGTTTCGTTTGTCTGTCACAACATATCGAGAACAGCCCTTACACCTGTACGAAGAGAGACAACTCATCATAGCAGCCCGAGTGAATGCAATGCGTTAGATAAAATAATACAAAAGTATTCTTCGACTTCAGTTCGCAACAATGTAAACACGGCTAGTAGGAAGTTTCCTCAGAGACGTAGAAACTTCTATAATAATACCAGACATATATAACACATATACGTCTCTGATAATACCGGTGTGGATTCTTGAAAGGACAAAAATTCCTAAAACTAGTACAAGTAATTGGAAACAAATGGACACCAGAGAAACAACTACTATACTAATATTAGCGTTTCGCGGAAATTCCATATTGCGATCTCTTGACTTAAGCATCCCACTAAAGAAAACATCAGAGGGGTTACGATTCAATTCGTTTACAGAAAGTCAACGATTCCGGAAACTCCCAGCAGTGTATTTTTATCGACCAATCAAAATACTCATGAGTATTTTTGCTACACCGAAATAACAGAAGGTAGGAGCCATCTTTGGAAATGATCGTCTTCACACAGTAAGTAGATACATACTAATTTTTGCATTCAGTTGATATTTCATATTCGTCGTGTTATATTGCTTAATGACATACGTTGAATTTAGCGAGACATTGATGTATTTTTGCATGACAATGCCTAATTCTTGTCTATACGTTTACCAGCCCGTTGATCTTTGTATTCCCCTGACTATCAGTAGACAGGTTGTGTTAAACCTTACATTATCTTTCATTAATAAATAAAAAGAACTCCTGTTGACTCGCCCGTCAATACACTTGTGCAGTAGTTATTATGGAGTTAATGTTACAAAGGACTACTGACAAGATTTCATCCTCATTTGCAGATCAGGAAGTTGTATGTAATCCGAAGGATTCTTTAGAAAAAAGAGATTTGTGGTTCAGTCACACGTATCTGTGTCCCTTAGCTTTAGTCCTACCTCAATTACAATGTTGCATGTGATGGGCCCCCCACATGTTGTTCAGTGAGGCAGCTATCAGCTGGCCAAACCCACAAAGAGACTTAGCCTCAAAGTGACACTTGCTATTAATTGGATGATAAACCCACAGACAGTTCGTGAATAGATCATACAAAGAGCATAATTTTTCAATTTTGAGATTTTGGCTGGTCAGTATTATAAATTTTACCAGTGTGTAGAAGCTGGTGATAGTAAATATAGATTAGACCAAGAAACAATTCCATGCATCATTGTTTCATTTGTTAGTAGTCAAGATATGATTGGTTTTGAGAAGTTTTATGGAAGTTGTTCTGTCTACTTATACTTTATTGGTCAGAAAGATGGCAGCATGTATACATGTGAATTTATATATTCATACTGACTCTGCAGTTTACTCGTTCACATAACTAATTCATTGATTTCTTGTTATAACCATCCAGATCTGTATTGAAAATATATAGTTGCATGTACGTAATGTATTCCAAATTGTTACAGTTGTTTTGTTCGGTAGCAGAGTTATCCAGCTATGCATTGTGAATTTTATATCAAAATCAAATTAACATAGCTTATCTATTAATACAAAGAAGATAGAGCCAACACTGTGTAAGTTTATTAGTAGTTGGATGATATTTCTTCAGACCCCTCCGTCTGGATACCTGAAAGTGATTGGAGGATAAATAAGACTTTTCATTACAAATAATGTCTTGATTGTAACAGTCTGCTAACCCTGATGGAGTTACCTATCATGTCTAACTGTTATATATGTCACAAATCAACAATGGATAGGTCTCGTCATTTTTAGGTACCTAAGGGGTAACATTTTCTGTGTAAAATTGTGTCCTGCAGAAGCCCGAGTGGGCGAAACTGGTTGATAACAATAAATTTAGGAATCATACCTCTTCGCCAGTTGTGGTTGGCTTCTACGTTTTAATATGTTATCTATATTACAGTATATTTGTCAAGGAAATCTGAAGTAAATGAAAGATAATACATGTAAATTGTAACTACATGAGGCATTCCAATCTAGTCCTTGTCATTAAGATGTTGAAACTAGTACCGGTTATTCATTCTCATCAGACAGTTTCTGCATCTGTTCCTGACGAAAATTAGTAATAAAATGAACGGTATTGACATATTTTTTGACAGTTGCTGTGGTATTAATATTTAATTTACAATATATTGGTTATTTTTTTATGTTGTGTGTTGATTATGGTCAATCATATTAATGTTGACAGTACAGTTATATATAATATAAACTTTATTTATTTTGCAACAATTGCGAAACAAGTTATGTCAACTTATACTAATCACTCTTGTTGGCCCGGATGTAAGCGCGCGGGGGGTCTTATTGTGGGAGGAAACTGGAGTACCCAGGGAAAACCCACATGGTCTGGCAGGTGACCCCTTACCTTGTCATGTCCGTTCAGGGAATGGAACCCCGGTCAGCTAGGTGAAAGGCGAGTGTGTTACCACTGGGCCACCCGACCACCCCAGTATGATAATACAAGTATTTGTATATAAGCTACAGTCTATTACGATGAGAAGGGCTTTAAGTAGTAAAACTTCCTGGTACACTTTGCACTTTCACTGGTGTTGACCAACATATTCTGCATGAATGAACTAATATCTAAAATGAATACACACAAAGTCTGAATTTATTTTTGATACAGGTGTGTTGTAAAACATTACAGGTTTGTCTTAGATTTTGAATAGAGAACTGAAAATGCTTGTTAGATGAGCTTTCAACGAAACCAAATGGTTTCTTCACAACAAATCCCAACAACACACATCTTCTTCTGCAAATAGAATTACATATGTTTTTGAATTATTTCATGTCATATGGTTAAATACCTGTACCAGATCCAACAAACTGAAAACATGAAATTTTACAGTAACAGGGATAGGGAAAAAGTAGCAACTTGCTAGTAAAATGTAATTGTTCAAACTAGAAATTAACTGGTCCAGAAAATAAGCATGAAAAATGTTGAAATATATACATATATCTCTAACACATTTTGTATAAGACTTGAATTCAGTCAAATTCAGTCACAAGTAAAAGATCTATATCTAGCAAATGTTTTGCTAAAACTGTTGTGAACTTGAAGTGTATGTTCTGTTCATCATACTTTGTCATGTTCATTCCTAGCTAGACAAGATATGAAAAAAAATAATTTAGTGCTAGTATAAAGATCAATGAGTAAAACTATCTTATATATCTAAAGGACTTTAGAAAATATAATATATTGAATTTAGAAGATATCCTCGCAAGGTCATTTTAATTAACTGTTTTTTTAGATTAGATGTCTCATGGCAACTGTCTATGTTTTTAGCCCACCATCATCAGGTGGTGGGCTATTCAAATTGCTCTGCATCTGTGGTCTGTTCGTCCCTCCCTCCATAAACAGTTTTTGTTATCACTATTTCTTGAGCAGTACGTGATGGATCTTTCTCAAAATGCCTGTATAGGTACTCCTTGGTCCCTAGTTGTGCCGGTTTTATTTTTGGACTGATAAAAAAAATGAAATGGCAGACAGGTGGCCTTCTTGGATTTTAATGTAGGTCCCTTTTGATCCCTAGTTGTGCCAGTTACATTTTGATACTGATCAGAAAAACGAAATTGCCAACAGGCGGTCATCTTGGATTTTGACTTTGAAAGTTTGATATCACTATTTCGTGAGAAACAACTGTATACATCTTTTTTAAAATTTCATATATAGGTTCCTTAGGGTCCCTAGTTGTGACTGTTTGAGTTTTGGGACTGATCAGAGAAACAAAATGGCCGACAGGCAGCCATTTTGGATTTCACTTAGTAAAGATTATTATGCCTATTTCCTAAGAAGCACTGAATGGATATCTCTCAAATTTCATATGTATATTCCTTTTGGTCTCTTGTGCTCATTTGATTTTGGGACTTATCTGACAAAATTAAATGGCATTCGGGCAGTCATTTAGATTTGGCAGAAAAAGATTATTATTGCTATTTCTGCAAAGGAATGTCTTATCATTAAGAGCAAAATCAGAAAAGAGAAGAGAAAAGAAGGGAAAAGATCCATCTTTCAAAGGACAAAAAAAGATCAAACAATAGTGAATGCCAAGATCAGTTAAGGATCTCTTGTATTTGGTTGACAGATAAAAAACTAATACTATATTTTTCCAAGTCATTTTCATCCCGATAAACTTGGACATCTCCCTTGGGCTTAGAGATTAATCTGAATACTCTGATGTTGTAACAGCCGTACATACTGTGATCACTCTTTAAAACACCTGTAATCATTTTAAGGTCATCTGATCATAGTTCATCATAGGTCAGATTCTGATTAAACTTTGTATGCAGCCATATATATATCTACAAGACTTCAGACAAGTTCAATAATGGGGATGAATCAATTGCAATTTGCAGAGTTATGGCCCTTTACCATTTTATTTCCATGGATGTTTTGAATACAATGATTTGAGTAAATATTTAAAAAAAAAATAATGCAGCCATATATCAATAAGATCTCTGATGATTTTGACAATACCTATTGTATTGCAGTTTACAGAGTTATGGCCCTTTGCTGTTAACATTAGGACCTTGTGAACAGTGTAATTTTAGTACATATGAACAGATTTTGATGAATCTTTGTATGCAGCCTCATATCAGAAAGACCTCAAATCAATTCACCATTCTGATCAATTTTATGGCAACTTAAAGGATTATGGCCCATTCAATTTTGTTTACGAATGGACCTTGTAAACATGATTATTTAAGTAAATATGAACAAATTTGGTATGCAGTCATACATCAATAAGTTCTCATATGAGTTTGGAAACACCTATAGGATTGTAATTTACAGAGTTGTAAATTATGAGTAAATGAATTAAAGATGTTATTACAATTACTAATTTTAACAATTATAAATTTAAATATTGAATTAGGGGGAAATGATAAAATGGAACAGACAATTTTGCAGCATGAATCTGCTACTCTGCTTTCTGACAGTTTTATTTTTACATGTCAAACAAAATAAATTTGATAAGAGCCAGAGCTGAGAATGGGATTGATGATCTCTATTACTCAAAACACCAAAACACTTCTTCCTTGTAAATTTCCAACGTAGAGGATTTTGGCCATTGCTAAAATTCTTTCATTTTTCTTGCTATTCGTCAACTGGTTTACTGCTTCCTTTATTCCTTTATTTCAATCTACCACTCACAGCATCTTTAAGAGGCCTTGGCATTTAGCTTACATTTCAGCTATCGGGGTTAATATTGCATCAATGCACTTTGATTTATTGGAAGATATTCGATTAATTTTTTTTCAATGTTTGAGTGTTATCATCTGATTATAAACTATCAAATTTTCTTGAAACAACAAGTAATTGAAACGATGACTTCATTCCATAATGAATGATAATTAGCCATCAATTGATACAGAAAAAGCCAATAAATTACAAGTGAAGTGGAACATCAAGCATATGAGTTATGGAAAAAGTGGGTTACAAAATTTGTGGAAAAGAGACAATGTAATATTTATTTGTTATCTTCCTTTTCATTGATAGGTTTTCAACCAACTCTGATCATTATTGAGACAGATTTGGACAAGAGGAAAACTGTCACTGGTAAACTTATATTACCTGGAAGACAGACATGGCTGATGCTGAACCAGGGGAGATTGATGGAATAATGTCCTGGAATGCTATTATGGAGCATATGAAGACAGACCAAGGTCTACAGAAAAAATGGACGGACCTTTATTCATACAAAGAGGAGATAAAAAAGTTGAGATTACGATGCGAACATTTTCTAACTGAAGATCGTACCTGGTAAGACAATCAGGTAGACAGATGTCATTGCTAGTAAGACTGTTTAGCCAGATGATAATTCTGCCAGTTAAGATACAGCAAATAGATGTTATTGCTGATAATTCTCACACATACTTAAGTTACGGCACATATGTGCAGATCATATTGTGAAGATAGACAGATGTAATTACTGGTGAGATAGACAGATGTGATTGCTGGTGAGATAGACAGATGTGATTGCTGGTGAGATAGACAATTGTGATTGCTGGTGAGATAGACAATTGTGATTGCTGGTGAGATAGACAATTGTGATTGCTGGTGAGATAGACAATTGTGATTGCTGGTGAGATAGACAGATGTGATTGCTGGTGAGATAGACAGATGTGATTGCTGGTGAGATAGACAGATGTGATTGCTGGTGAGATAGACAGATGTGATTGCTGGTGAGATAGACAGATGTGATTGCTGGTGAGATAGACAGATGTGATTGCTGGTGAGATAGACAGATGTGATTGCTGGTGAGATAGACAGATGTGATTGCTGATGAGATAGACAGATGTGATTGCTGGTGAGATAGGTCTAATACATTGCATATAAGCACTGATTAAAGTTAAGGTAGACAAATGTATCATTGCTGTTAAGACAGTGAGGAGAGTCATATATGCATATCAGAATACAGTTAAAATAGTCAGATGTTATTGCTGGTAAGACTGATAGATCAGTCAGGTGTTTTTATCTGGTAAGATGTACAACGCACAGTTCAGATACAGTACATAGATGTTATTGCTGGTAAGACTGATAGATCAGTCAGGTGTTTTTATCTAGTAAGATGTACAACACACAGTTCAGATGAAGTACATAGATGTTATTGCTGGTAGGATAGACATTATTACTGTTGAATAGAAGTTTCTATAACACAACCAGTAGAAGTTTGTAGAAGTGTGACATTTCAATGAATTAACTTTTATCATCATCAGATCAGTGACCAGTGTGCAGCGTACTAGTACTGATATTGTGTAATGTACAAGATGGTAAGGAATTAACTTTTTTCAGTCGTTCTATCATCCTAGGTACACCAAGTTAGAAAACAGTGTGAGGAGATGGTGAAAAGATCATAGAAATGAGTACACAAGATAGTAACATTATACCTTAGTTGATTAGGTTACACTATGCTTAAAACTTGGTCATAGGTGTGTGAGAGTGTGTGTTGGCCTATTGTGGCATATCCAGATGGCCTCTGATGACCAGCTGCCTGAAAACTTTGTTTTCCCTGTCAATTAATTTGTAATTTTCCCAGTTAGTGATATGATTTTGCTGTGTGGAATGATCTGCACAGCAAAATCATATCTAAAGCTTTTAGAAGGTATTGAAATATCAAGCAAATGTTATTTAGTAAAATATGTTTGTTATTTAAGGTGTTTAGGTATTTTGTGTTTAGTACACTGAACTGGGAATATAATTTGAAAATGATTCAAGAATCCTTAATGCTTGAAGCACTTTTCGTCTTTATAAGAGCATATAATTTCTTCAGAAAATACTGGAGAATTTTTAACCAAATTATTATGGTAGGATCAATAGCTCATCAGGGTGAAATGCTATTCACAATAAGGATTTGATTCCCCTGAGGGTTGATAAGTGACATTAATAAATGTCAAATTTTCTTACTTGTATTTATTTTTCATGGCATTTCCTCCAAATATTTGACAGGTTTTAACCAAATGACTGTGGTAACCTATTTTAGTAACAGAGACAAATGCTATTGAAGTGAATAAGTTGATCCTCCTGGGATTAGGCTATTAGTCAGAATTTTTCATTTTTAGATCATCTGATCATAGGTTGTGGTGCCCTATAGCTATCACTGTCATTGTGGATAGTGCATCAACATTTCCATGTGACATGATAGCATCAGTAAATAGGAACTAATTTTTATGAAGCTTGTATGCAACTTTATATCAATTAGATCGCTACTGAGGGAGATAATGGGATTGATTCATCATAATTTTTAGAGTTATGGTCCTTTGCAGTTTTATTACTATGGACCTTGTGAATATGATAACTTGAATAAGTATTACAGATTTTGATGAAAACTGGTATGCAGCCATATTTAATAAGATCTTGGATGAGTTTTGGCAATGACTAATCCAATCATTATTTGCAGAATTTTGGCCTTTTTCTGATTTATGGCTATTGGTTTTTTAACCATTGACCTTGTGAGCACAATAACGTGAGTTGAACAGATTTTGATAAAACTTGATATGCAGCTTTATATCAATAAGATCTCAGAGTTGGGGGACAATGACGACGATTCATTTTGGATTGCAGGCCCTTGATATGGTCCTTTTCAGTTTTATTGCTATTGGACATTTTAAACACAATACTTTCAGTAAATATAAACATATTTTGATGAAATTTTGTATGCAGCCTTAATATATCAGTAAGATTTTGGATGAGTTCATCTCTAACTTTGGTTAAGATTAGTTGGGTGACTCAACATTTTATTATCGTCTTTGTCACATTTCATTAAAAAAACCAATGGTGAGCATCTTTAGCTATTTCTTCCAGCATGTTGTTATCAGAATTGACACAGAATTATCAAGATGACCTTCCAGCAACATTTGGTACCACTGGATGAGACCTGGGGAATTATGGAATTATGAAGTGGTTAAAGTGACATTTCTTCTCAAACTTCTATACTGTTTGATTTTCAGCTGAATTGCATACAACCTATCTATGATGATGATGAGATCAATGATCCTGTTATATTATATTGTCTAGTAATGAAATGTTGTTACCTGCATTCACAAGGTCAATTTAAATTTGAATTCCCTGAGTTTTATTGCAAATATAACAACCTATTCCCACAGTTATTGACCCTTGCAGGCCTTTTTTCTGATGACAGGAACCAGGCCCTTGAATCATTTGCTGATAAATCATGGCAGACAAATGGGGAAACTTCAGAGATGCTGTATCAACAATTAATTAAGTGCTACGAGGACAAGTGTAATCAAAATACTGCGGATGGCATCATTATCTCTGGAGAATTAAACACTCTTCAGGTATGTTTATGTACACCAATAAGAGGTTTCTGCTTGTAACTGATAATGTCAAACCAAGTCAGATTTCTTTTCCTAATACAAAATGTCATTGAACTGTAATTGATATTATTGAATGAATCTCTTGGATGTAATTTTCTTGTGAAAAAATTATATTGACCTACTATCAAGGTCACAGGGGTCAAATATTTCAAAATCTATAAACAATTTCTGCGATATTGATAGACCTAGAGACAGGTTTTTGGACTGGTAACTTCATCAAAGGAGCAGAACAAAGTTTACCAATAAAAATTATCTGGACCTGTTTTCACGGTCAGGGGTTCAAAATGTCAGTATCAATGTCAATATATCTCGTCTTTTATTTGATTGTTCCATACTAAACACAATACTTTTGTGAATCATGGTCCTGCATGATTTGAAGCTCAACTTGTATGAAGGGTCATGTGTTCTCGTGCAGTAATGTAGCTTCCTTTGTCTGTCTGACGTCAGCCTTTCCGTTTAACAACTTTTCAATAACCAAATAGCCTAGATGTATAATATTTAGATGTAAGGTCCTTGGATACAGTCCAACAAAGTTTGTGGTTGGTAGGTATTAAGGATGTAAGCCTCACAAAATTAGCCCAGAATCAAGATATTTGGCTTGGATTTTCCTTGGATGAAGCCAAACAAAGTTTGTGAAAATAAATGACCTTGACTCATATTTAAGGTCACAAATTTGTAAAAACTTTCTGACAACTTCCGAATAACTAAAAGGAAAAGGCCTAGAATCTAAAAGTCTGTGAAAAGGAATTTTCCTAACCCGTATTCAAAATCAAAAGTGTCAAATTTGTTAAAACCTGCAAATAACTTCAGATTAAATTTTGGTTCAGATTTGTTAAAACTTCTGATTGACCTAAAGGAGAAGGACCATGGTATTTGGCTGGTACCTTCCTGGGATTAAACCGAACAAAGTTTATAGAAAGACATGACCTTGGTCCATATTCAGCTACTGACTTGTCAAATTTGATTAAACCTCTGACAACGTTTTATTTGCCAAAAGGCCTAGAATCATATTTTGCCCTTTGGGCCACTTGTTTCAACAAACAAGTAAGCATGGATTCAGTTCTTAATTTCTGTAGCAAACTCCCCCACCCCGTTCCACTAAACTGTGACTTATATTTTAAATCATTTCCAGGTCCTTCATATTTTGAGGTTTTTTTTCCTTTCAAGAATCTTTCAGGAATAATTAGATAATTAATCATTTCTTCATCAGTTCATACCATATTAAGTTCTAAGTAAGAAGGGAACATTCCACCTTTCCCTTTTAAGCCAATTTGATGCAGTTATGAGATTTTGGCACATGCTTCTTCATTGTAGAAAATTTCTTGCATTGAGAAGTCCAGAATTCACGATCAGTTTAAAATCTAATGTAGAAAATTCCTACATTAAGAATCATAGAATTGTTGATGATCAATTCAGTTGTAGGAAACTTCCTACATCATCCTACATCCCATTTCTCGGCTACTCAATGACGGGTCAATGTAAGAAATTTCCTACATTTTGTTCAATCTGTTAAATCAACAAACCTGGGCTTGTTGCTATATGTGATTTCCTACATTGAAGTAGCAAAAAACCCAAAGTTAAACACTTTTATGCTCATAATCACATTAAATTGGCTTCAACAGGAAAGGTGAGATTGTCCCTTCTTATTTGGAATTTAAATAATTTTTTAGAGCACATAAAACAACATCATGCTTTATTCCAATAAATCATACACTGTATGGCACTGTTTGGTATCTTTTATATATATTTATGACAGGGTATTGAATGCTGTAGCACGACATATTGACTCACCAATTCACAATTATATCTATTGCTCTCAATTAATGCACGGCCTTGAATTTGATAGTGAGACATTTGTTTCTTTTGATCCTAGAGCAAATATGAAGGAAAGCACTGTGACTTGGTTACAGACCTTCTAAGGTGTTTAGATGAGGAGAAACAGTTGTTGCTAACAGGAGGCCAGGTAAGGTTTTACTGGCACATCATGTGACAAATAACAGCCAAATAAACAGTGAAAAAAATGTCAGTACATTGAATTGTGTCACAGGCAAACAATTATTGTTTGGAGTAAGTGGTGTGTATTTGGGTCGTCTGAGAAGTAGTTCAAAGACTTTATTCATTAGAATGTTTTAGCAGCAGTTCATTGACATTTATGGATTGTCTAGCAAGGGGAAAGGTCAAAGGTCAGAATTGCTATCAGTGCAATGCTGGCTACAATCTCTATTCAAAATATTTTCATCATCACTATGTTTTACAAAGTATGATTTTCCAGGAGGAGGATATGGATACAACTGAAAAAGATGGCATCCTTCATAATGTAAGGATGCTGGATGTAAACTGCAAGGTAAGAGTTATATACAATAACTGCTGTGTTAACACAGTAAATTGGAATTACTTCTCTACAAACACTAAAGAGGGAATACATTATGTACAAGCTTGTAGTAGGTGTAAAATCCTATGATGCACTTTAATGGAAATGAATTCAGAACAAACTTTGATGGGAAAACAATTTTAAATGGGAATGAATTATGAGCTCACCTTACCTGAAGGGCCAAATGAGTTTATGCTGTGGCGTCTGCCATCCATCCATCTGGCTTCAACTTTTTGATTCAAACAACTTTTCAATAACAAATAGTCCCAGAGTCAGCGTTCTTTGGCTAATAGGTTCTTTGCATAAAGTTTGCAAAAAGAAATGTCCTTGACTCATTATCAAGGTCACAGTAGTCAAATTTGTTAAAATCTGCAAACAACATTGTCTGATTAACAGGAAGACCTTAGAAACCTGATATTTGGCTGATAGGTTTCTAGGATGAAGTCTGACAAAGTTAGTGAAAAGAAATGACCTTATCCTATATTCTTGGTCACATGAGTTTTATAGTTACAAAGGTAAACCATTTGAACTACTTCTTCTCAATACCGTAAAGAATTAGAATCATATTTGGCTGGTAGTTTCATTCAAAAAGTTCCAAAAAATCATGCAAAAAGAAATAACTTTGACCAATAATTTAGACCACAAAGGTCAAATTTGTAAAAAAAAATTCAACCAACTTCTTTTTCAACAAAAAGCCTAAGATCATAATATTTGGCATGAAGGTTCCTAGCATGAAGCTGGATAGTGTTTGGGAAAAAAATTATCTTGAACTATATTTCAGGTCACAGGGGGCAAATTTGTTGAAACATGCAAACAACTTCTTAACCAAAAGTAATTGTTGAAAGCATTGAATGCCAGATGAGCAATGCAGCTCCATAGGGCAATTTGAATATATTCACTGTTATGGAAATTAATTCTTTACAAATACTTGTAGGAGCATTGCTTCGTTCAACAGCAGAAATATGCTACACTCCAGTTTTTTTTTCAAATTATTTCTCTAAACAAGGATCATTTTAATACATGTGCCTGACAGTGATTAGATAAGCATGGAATTGAAAATAATGCATGTATTATGGTCTCAAAATTAATATAGGTTATAGCAGACATACATCAAATCACTAAATTTGTGGTCCCCATTGTGGACTCCAAGGGGCAGTGTGAAAACTGTGAAAAAAACATATTATTGAAGAAAAAACCTTCTCTGGTTGGAAATATAACTGAAATAAGTGTTTATTAGGGTATTAATTTCAGAGAGTAGCTCTAGCAAAATTGATCTCTGGATGTACTGTTCAGCCTCGAGGCTAGTGTGGGACAGTGTTTGATGTAGACCTGAGTAATTAAAAATACTAAAAGAATAATAAAATGTCAATTTGTATGAAAACGTTGACCTCTTTGTACAGGCATATGCATTTTAAAGTTTTAGGAAATGAATCAGATATAACGGTTTTGTTTCTAACTGGGTCACAGGGTCAAACTCAAACGTCATCAACTCTTAGAAGAATTAAAATTGCTAATTTTATTCAAAATTACCAACCTTTTGTATAGACATATGCTTTGAAAAGCTGAAGGAAATGATGCAAAAGTTATTTTGTAATGACTTTAAAGCTCATAGAGTCAAAGTTCATTAACACATTGAAGTAGTAATATTGTCATTTTTATTCTGAAACCATCACCTTTTTGTACAGCATACAAGTATATGCATATGAGGCATATTTTCTATGTTGTAGAAAATAACAAAAAGTCCATAACACTTTATCTTAGTACCACATGCAGGTAATTTGTGGGCTTGCCAGTTTAAGTTTTAGAGAACAAATCTTAGATTTAGAGAAAATGCTGTAGACTTGGGATTTAAACTCTTTACCTGAACCAGATGGCAGTCAGGTCTCCATGGGCCACCTTTTTTGTTTAAAAAAATATTAAGCTACATCATGGTGACGAATATTTACATATAATACAACCTTGTACTTTATAAATAAACGAAGGAACATTATTTCTAAAAGATGATACAATACTTTTTTGTTGAGGAATTAACATTTCTTTATTAATGAATGATGTTTTATTTATCTGTTTTATGCAAATTCTCCCAACAAAGCTTGGTTTTCTCTTTCAGAATCTAGACAGTCTAATCAAGATTTTGGAGAGTAGTAAAGAAGAAATTGAGAAATGTACTGAACAGCGTTCAAGCTTATGTACGTAATACCGTCTTTGTCTTATTCCCACCAATAATGAAGTGTTGAGATTTGATATTTTCGTTTTTTATCTTGCCTCCTTCAAGAAGAGGGAGATGTAATGTTGTCACCACAGCATCAGTGTTGGTAAAGGTGTTGGGTTTTAAATGTTATGATTTCCGTATAAGTGTTGAAAGACATCAGTGCATCACTTTATAATTGTACTAGAGTATTACTTTCTGGTGTCAAGGTCCCTGTAGGTTTAGCTATCCTTCCCCAAAGTTACACTAAAGAACTTTTGAGAAAAAAGACTTGGCCTTCTTTCACATTTGTAGCCTAGCTGCTCTCATTAGTGACAAGAGTAAAAATATTAATATAAGGATTACCTGGACATTTTCGTTAGGATATTGGGGATAACATAAATGGAGATTGATTAAATTGTACATTTAACCAGCTTTGCTGGAAAAAATTTAATCTTAAACATTTGCAAGGTGAGCTATGCTGTTCTGTAAGACTATGTAAGTGGTATAAGGTAAGAATGGTAAGACAGAGAACAAAATTAAGCATAATGTGCTGGTGATTTTCATTGATTACATATTGTAATACAAAATTTTGATATCGGCTGGATTTAAATGGTCACTGACATAGTCACCACAGATATCCAGTTCAATTTTATTCATATATGAAGCCACTTGGCAGATGTTTATATTTACCTGAGTACACTGTACCAGGTGCATATAAATCAGTTAATGCTTGTGTGTATCTGTGATAATATTGTATACAAGATAATTCTTAAATCCACAAACAAATGTGGTTCATATTCATATCACCGCATCACCCTGCTAAAGTCTAGATCTGATTAGGTTTTCTGTTTGTTATTTGTTAAAATTAAAGGTCAAAGGTCACCCTTGACCTCTTTTGAAATGAATGTTTCGGGTACCAGATGTCTGATGAACTTAGTTTATATTCACACCATGTAGCATCACCCCAACTAAGTCTACTCTGATTAGATTTTGAGGGTCATGGTATAGGTTAAAGGTCAAAAATTTTCCTCAACCACTTGAACCTCTTGATACATTAAACTTTATGTAGATTTAGACAAGAAGAAAAAAAAAAGATTAATGATGGGAGATATATCTTAGTGAGCTCCTGTTTTTATTTTCCATGATTTTATTATGAGTAATGCCTCTTAAGATAAGTTTGTCTATAAATGTACATGATACTTGTATTACTGCTTACTTTGAGAATTCTATAAAGTAAATGTTTGTATGTGTTGTATTATTGTTTTAATATTGTGAGCTGCTGCTTTTGAAGAAAAAGGAGGAATATTAATTTCGAGGGTTACATCTGTCTGACTGGCTTTAGTTTCTGTGTGAAAACTTTTCTAAATTTAAATAAATTTCAGTCGAATTTGGTTTTCAGATGTATCGTACTATCCTTAAATGTGAGTGTGACTACTGACATGGTTCAATAATGTTTAAGTATAATTATTTAGTTACTTAATTGCTGATTGGCCAACAGGTTTTCCATGCAAAAACTTCACTAATTGTCAATGAATTTTGATGAAAGTTGGTTTGAAGGTATTTCTTACTGACCTTCAGCCTTAACTTGAATTTGCTTACCGCATCATTTGTTGACCTAATTGATCAGGAGCTTCACTTTTGATTGGCCAATCGTTTTCAGTGATTAACTTCTTTAAATGCCAGGGTATTTCAGGGGAATTTATTTTACAAAAGTGGGAAATATGAATACCAAAAATTTGTTTATTTATACTGAAAGAAGCCACCTTGGTATTTGTAAGTGGTGTTAAATTTCAATGATTTTGCAAGGACTGGGAGTGCAGACCCTTCAATAAATTATAACAGTTTAGGTATGTTGATGTACAGTATAGAACTTATCTTAGGCTTCCAGTTTATAGTGATAATAGTTTTCATTTTGAATTCAAGTAGACATTTCTTGTTCAGTTAAATTCTTACAGTAATGTATAAGAACATTTCCCTGTTGCTGCCCTAGTACAACAGTACAAGACAAACAATGATATATTATATATGAGACAGGCCTCACTGTGTTGTGACTTGCTTGCCATTCCATGCTTTTAATTTTCCTTAACTAAATTATTCCATCGGATGGGATAATGCTGTTTACTCTTTTTAATTACCAGATACTTAATTGATTTTGCACTTAATGATGATGGTAATGTAAATATGAATAACGCAATGTTTTCTTAATATAGTCATAGTCAGTGTAAGAGCAGCATATCCAGTTATAGTGGGTACATATGCAAGGTGCCCCTCAAACAAATTATTGGTTTCGATGGATTTGCCTGTAAGTGAATTATAACTGTTATTATACTTCAGAAATCATTTCATTGTTTATTTATCCATATGGGTAAATATACAGATAATTGGTTTTATGGTAATATGATATTGTACCACATTGTTAATGAATTCTTTACTTTTTAAGATTCAGAAAACTGTAGTGGTATGCTGAATGGTATGTCTACTCAGACTGCAATTGACAGAATTCATCATCAACTTGAAAAATTGATTTCAAACAAAGAATTCACTGAAAAGGTATTTATCATAATAAAGGTAATATATTGCATTATGATTTGATTTTACACATTTTCTGTGTTTAGCCCTCCATCATTAGGTGTTGTCTATTCAAATCTTTCCATGTCTGTAGTCCATAGTTTGTCCACAAACAGTTCTTGTTATCGTTGTTTCTTGGAGGAATTTTCAAATCTCATCTAATTTAGAGGAAAAACAAAGGAAAGAAGAGAAAAAGGGAAAAAGAAGAACACATAACCATCAAGCAATGTTAAATCAATAGGATGCCAAGATCCTTCTGGAATGTCTTATTTTATCTCATCAGGTCCAATTGAAATTAGGGCACCATCTGTGGTTGTTCCATCAATTTTTTCTTTAAGTTGATACTAGTCTACAATATCTAAGTGGTTTTTAACTAAATTTAGTCTCCATCAATTATATGTGGGGTTGATTTGGGGGAACGGATGCACATCTTTTGGAATCTTACAAATGCTTTGATGAAGGTGTAAAGAGCATTTCATGAAATGAATGTTGTATGATGGAAGGTCTATGAACTGAATAGGAGGCAGAGAGTTTGGGTACAAAATCTAAACTAGGTTATATCTAGGAACATTGTGCACATTCTGTATAGTTTAAATGGTTATCGATGTAATCATTTGACAATATTTTGACTGAATAAGATGATGACATATCCATGATTTGACAAGTTGGCATATTGCATATTGTTCAGGGAGTGTGAAATGAATTTCTCAACATATCGATGTAAAGTTTCCTCCCATTTCACCTCAAACCTCTCACAGTTAGTGTTTTCAGGTTAGGAAAATGGATTCCTATGTTTTGAAGAGTAGTAGACTGGTGACCAGTCAGAATTTTGAAGCCTGTGATAATGAGAAGTTTTTAGCAGACATAAGTACTAATAAAAGATAAATGTCAAAAGAGAGAAGTGTTTGTAATTTTCCTGTAAATCCAAATGGTTTCAGTGTTAGCTGATATAACTTAGTGAGCTTTACAGGCCAACTGCAAAAAAAATCAGTCATAAAAAGCAAAACTTCAGTTCCTTCTGTTATTTGTTTTGTTGCAGAAAATTTTAGAAACTCTTGTGGAAATTGTAAAAAATGCTGGTGAAGTGCTGGAGGAGATGAAAGCTGAAGTAAAATGCTGGAAGGAGGAACAAACGAAGTACTATGTAGATGTTGCATCTCAACCCACTATGCCTTCCAAACCTCCACTTACAAAATGGTACATCTTATGCACTGCCAGTATAAATACTGGTACATTTGTTAGTGTCCATTGTCAGTCATTCAGTTTTTGTCTTGTATGTGATGAAGTCACTGAGTGGAGACATAGCATAGGTGTCATCTCAGATTCTCTAGAGTACTTGAAAATCACCAAATTTAGTCATGAACAGCTTTAAACAAATTTTCCTGAATAACGAAAAAGCAAAGAAATACGGTATTTGGCTGATAGGTCCCTAGGATGAGGTCCGACAAAGTTTGTGAAAAGAAATGATCTTGACTGTTACTCAAGGTCACAGGGGTGAAATTTGTTTACATATCAAAACAACTTTTATTACACTAACAAAATGGCAAAGATGCATGGCATTTGCTGAAAGGTTTCAAGGATGAAGCCATACAAAATTTGCTAAACGAAATGACTTATTTAAGTTCACAGGGTTAAAACATGGAATTAACTTCATCTTACTATCCAAAACAGCATAGACACATGGTATTTGATTGTTAAGTTCCTAGGATGAAGCCCATTAAGATTTGCACAAAAAGATGTCCTCAGACGATATTTCAAGGTCACAAGGGTAAAATTTGTTAGACCCTTTAAACAATTTCTTCTGTCTAATCAAAAGTGGCAGCAGCATTTTATTTCCTTGACAGTTTTCTAGAATGAAGCCTAACAAAGTTTGCCAAAAAAAAATGACTGAACCATAGTTAGCTCACATAGCCTGAAGGGCCATATGATCTTAGGTCGTGGCGCTTTGTTCATCTGTCTGTCTGATGTCAATTTTTCCATCTAAATGACTATTTCTCAATAACCAATGGACCAAATAACATGGTATTTGACTGATGGATCATAAGGTAAGGCCCAACAAAGTTGCAAAATAGATGACCTTTACCTATATTCAAGGTCATGGGTCAAATTTGGTTAAATCCATAAAACAACTTTCAATTAATATAAGCAAAAGCATAGTATTTGGCTAAGAGGTTCCTAGGATGAAGCTGGACAAAGTTTGCGAAAAGAAATTACCATGACCCATATTCAAGGTCACAGGAGTCAAATTTTTTATAACATTCAAACATAAATTATATGAGCTGTCAAAACTAGTCCAGGAACATGATTTATGTATGGCCATTTCCAACACACATTTCAGATTCTGAATTTCATATTCAGTTTACTTTTAATTGATAATGCCATGATAAATTTTTCTGTTTATTTTTGTGTTAAGCTGTATTTGATATATCTATGTACAGACATCCTAACACATTACAGATTCTAAATTTCACCTACAACTTACTATCAACTTGACTTTGTTAGGTCTTCTGACCCAGTGGGTCAGAATGACCTAGACAGATATCATGTTTTGTCTATCACTTTGCACTAAGCATAAACTGTCCTTTCAAATGACAAAATGGCTCAGGGTACTAATATTAAGCCTGTAAGCATGCCAGAGTATTTGCTCAACTGAATGGCCTTGATCTATTTTCAAAATCACAGAGGTCAAATATGTTAAAATATTTAAATTACTTCTTCTCAATAACCAAAAGGCCAACGGTGCGGTGGGCCAGTAGCATGCTGATATGAAAGTTTGTTCAAATTAATTACCTCGGCCCACTTTCAAAGTCACTGGAGGCAAATGTGTTGAGAACTTAAAATTTTTTGTCAACAAACAATAGGTCCTGGGTCATAGTATTTTTATAGTGGCATGTATTAGGAATAGGATTTCAAATTTGCAGAAATACACTTTATTAAATGACAAAATATTTTTGTAAGCTGTAGAACAGGTGAACAATTTGGGCACAGGTGACCTCTTCATATATAAGTATTTGTATTTAGATGATAATTAAGGCCAATGTGCCTCTTCTTAATTGTGCTGTGTTAAAGTTTACTGATAATCTCTATATTGAGCTCAATTTCTCTTTACCTACATATTTGTTTAATCCCGATATGGAGAAGTGGGGACACACAAGACATAATTACATGTAATTCTTGTTTCTTGGAGACACTACTTGGTCAGTTGTTCTATAGCCCCTATGGGCAATGGGGACTCATACCAGTAAATAGGAAGAGAATATAGGAGAGGAAAAGATTAATTTTTAAATAATTTCTTTTGAGATTCTAACCATATCTGAGTACCTTGGGTGAAGGGGACATAAGTTTTTTTTAAGTAGTTGGGTAGGTATGTGGCTATATCCTTACTTAATATAAGGCAAGGTACTTTACCCTGAATGACATAGGATAGTCCTCCAGTATGTTGTTCAGTGAGGTAACCTCTAGCTACAATAAGACTCCAAAATAACCCTGGTTGTTTAGAAAGAAACTCTTAAAAGACAGTGTATAAGCAGGTCTTGACCTTTCCAGTGGCACAGTTTATTAAATACCTTGGTTTGTCATATAACTAGACATGAAACAATTTTGTGAGTAGAAAGGTAGTGTGAAACTGGATAAAGACATTGTAATTGTTGAAGTTATTTTTTTATTACCAATGTTACAGTCTTTTGCCCCTCAATTACAGAGTTATAGTCCTTTGTGAAAATTTTCTTGTCCAGATCATAACACTGCCAATAGTTAAGCAAGGATCACTAAACTATGTGTAGAACTGTGTATACATTGATCATACTAAGTAGCCAATTCAGGGCCCTTGATTCCTGAATTACAGAGTTATTGCCCATTGTTAATATCTTTTCCAAAGCAAAACTTTTCATTTGAAGTAGGATAATAAAACTTGGTATATACATTTATCATATAAAGATAATGTGCAGTGTACCAATGTTAGGGCCTGCAACACCTTAATTACAGAGTTTTTACCCTTTGTTAAAATTTTGAGACTGTCAGGATATTGAAATGTGATGAATACATTATTTATACAAAAAAAGGTGAAGTGTAGCAAACTCAGGGTCCTTGACTCTCAGTACAGAATTATTGACTTTGTTGAAATTTTGTGTCCAATAAGTAGTCTTCAGGAAGCATTCATTGGTTTCACTGATACTCTTTTTTCATTATGCATTATTGTTTTTGGCAGTGTGCTATTGCTTCACAGATTATTATAATTTCATTAAATGTTTGTTGTCTTTGTTACAGGTGTGCACATGCTGGGTCATGCCTGTTTGACCTTATTCGCTGCACTCTGCCAAATGTTCCTGTATACGATAGTCCGGATCTGACACAGAAAATACAAGATATTAATAATATATTTGACCAAATGCTGCAGTGGTATGTGTTGAAATCAAAATTTTAAATTTTTATGCTCCCCAAAAGAAGAGCATATAGTTGCCGCTTTGTCTGTCTGTCCATCCATCATAGTTTTGTCGGGAGTATAACACAAAAATATGATAGGTATCAACATGAAACTTCATAGATCGATAGATCTTGATAAGGAGAAGTGCAGTGTACAAGAACCATAACTCTCTCTGCATTATTTAGGAATTATTGCCCATTGTTATTTTGCATACTTAAATTTTGTCCCATTTGGGTAGCATAACCCGTCTCCAAGGATTCTTGTTAGAATTTGCTGTCAGTTATGTTTCTGTATAGTGCTGCCATATTTTTCAAACCACTTTGTTATGGATTAAATCTTTTCTTCTTCATAATTTGGACAGTATAATCAATTCTTCTGCAAAAGCTTGTTGAAAGCCTGATATTTTAGTGTACTCCTTACCCTTCTTAACCCTGTCTTAATGATCAGGCATTATTTCACAGAAAAAGCAAACACCTAGAGTAAATAATGTTGAGCTTTCTACAAAATAATTCCGTTTGAGACAGACCAGAAATGTGTTGAATATTGTGGATTAATAAAACTCACTTAAGACCTTCTTTTATTTTGCAGCTCATTTTTAGTCACCAATCAGGTGAAAAATTTCATCAAGGTCAGCATGGGGACAAAAAAGAAGAGTGTTAATGGGCAGGATGAGGAAGATGAGGAGGGTGAAGGAAACAAGAAGTTCAGCTGTCCTAAATTCAAGGCAACAGTCCGGTTAGTTATTAATGTACATGTATCTATTTTAAAGTAAAGTTTTATATAAGTGAACACCACAAGACTCTGGCTTGTTCAGACTTTCATTTTTTCAATTGTCTGACTTCAATCTGTCCATCCATAACTGTTTCTCGAGAACTTGATGGATCTTTCTCATGAGTGGCTCTTGGACTTTAATTGTTACCTATTTATTTTCAGTTGTGCCTATTAAGGTTTGAGACAGACTGGAAGAAATAAGAGTTAGATAGGCTTCTGATATATCCTTAGAAAATACATAACATACTGTCAAGACTTTTCCTGAATTTCATTGTTAATGATATTTAAGGATGTCTTGATCACTATATGGCTAGTAATTTACACTGTTGTAAAGCGTGGACTGTAGGCATCTTTTCTCTAGAATATGGATTAAACACACTCAGGTGTCTGGGGAGATGATATTTCTCCGTTGTTGTATTTTAAATCCGGTGTACATCATATACTTTGTAAACATTCACCATATTGATGAGTGAAACCAGAACATTTCCATGACAAAAAAAGCACAGCTTCTTTCATGAATGGCATAAACTATGTTTTCAAATTACTGCATGATTTGCTTACTGCTACCATATGGTTAAGTACGTTATTTTCTTCACATATTACTCCACTTGGTGGACTTACTTTCACAGTGTTTTGCAATTTCTATTAGAGTTTTCATTTCTTAGTCACAGTGCACAAATGGCTTGCTGATTATACCTAAATTGACTTCAAAATCATACATATTTATAACTAATATAAAGATGTTGTGTGAAACAAATTATTGATAATAAGAAGTATTTTGAGTTTATAAAACTTAGAAAATGTATTATGTAACCCTAACAAATGACATACAGGATACTTACACATGTCAGGATACTTACACATTACAAATGTCAGGATACATACACATGTCAGGATACTTACACATTACAAATGTCAGGATACTTACACATGTTACACATGTCGGGATACTTACACATGTTACACATGTCGGGATACTTACACATGTTACACATGTCGGGATACTTACACATGTTACACATGTCAGGATACTTACACATGTCAGGATACTTACACATTACAAATGTCAGGATACTTACAAATGTCAGGATACTTACACATGTCAGGATACTTACACATGTCAGAATACTTACACATGTCAGGATACTTACACATGTCAGAATACTTACACATGTTACACATGTCGGGATACTTACACATGTTACACATGTCGGGATACTTACACATGTTACACATGTCAGGATACTTACACATGTCAGGATACTTACACATGTCAGGATACTTACACATTACAAATGTCAGGATACTTACAAATGTCAGGATACTTACACATGTCAGGATACTTACACATGTCAGAATACTTACACATGTCAGGATACTTACACATGTCAGAATACTTACACATGTCAGGATACTTACACATGTTACACATGTCGGGATACTTACACATGTTACACATGTCAAGATACTTACACATGTCAGGATACTTACACATGTCAGGATACTTACACATGTCAGGATACTTACACATTACAAATGTCAGGATACTTACAAATGTCAGGATACTTACACATGTCAGGATACTTACACATGTCAGAATACTTACACATGTCAGCATACTTACACATGTCAGAATACTTACACATGTCAGGATACTTACACATGTCAGGATACTTACACATGTCAGGATACTTACACATGTTACACATGTCGGGATACTTACACATGTTACACATGTCAGGATACTTACACATGTCAGGATACTTACACATGTCAGGATACTTACACATTACAAATGTCAGGATACTTACAAATGTCAGGATACTTACACATGTCAGGATACTTACACATGTCAGAATACTTACACATGTCAGGATACTTACACATGTCAGAATACTTACACATGTCAGGATACTTACACATCACAAATGTCAGGATACTTACACATGTCAGGATACTTACACATCACAAATGTCAGGATACTTACACATGTTACACATGTCGGGATACTTACACATTACAAATGTCAGGATACTTACACATGTCAGGATACTTACACATGTCAGGATACTTACAAATGTCAGAATACTTACACATGTCAGGATACTTACACATTACAAATGTCAGGATACTTACACATGTCAGGATATTTACACATGTCAGAATACTTACACATGTCAGGATACTTACACATGTCAGAATACTTACACATGTCAGGATACTTACACATGTCAGAATACTTACACATGTCAGGATACTTACAAATGTCAGGATACTTACACAAGGATACTTACACATGTCAGGATACTTACACATGTCAGGATACTTACACATGTCAGGATACTTACACATGTCAGGATACTTACACATGTCAGGATACTTACACATGTCAGAATACTTACACATGTCAGAATACTTACACATGTCAGAATACTTACACATGTCAGAATACTTACACATGTCAGAATACTTACACATGTCAGGATACTTACAAATGTCAGGATACTTAAAAATTTATTATGTTATCCTTCCAAATGACATACAGGACGTTGATAGAAAAAAAAATATGAAAGCAAGGTTTTATCGCATAATTATAAAACAAGAAAGTAGTAAAACAAGGTCTTATCATTTAATGGATCTCCTCTACATTTTCAATAATCTTGTAATGGTGTTAGCCATGGTAGGGTGCCGCAATGCACTCTGGGAAAGATTTGTTCTCTAGGAATACAAGTATTTGCACAATGATTGACAAGGAGAGGTTGCTTCAACGTTCAAAATGCTAGTAGCTTCCCTTTACCCGTCATTTGGAAATACAAAGGTGACTGAAGTATATTGAAGTTTTTCTTGGATTTTTTGCTTTCAGTGCTGTGTTCAATTTCACTGTTGCTGAAATTTCACACTTATTCTTTTAAATCTCTATGCTGATTTACCATTTCCTTTGTTTCCATCCTTGATAAAGAGTGCCTTTAAGTGCCATCAGCACTAACTTGATCTCCTGTGGGTTTTCCTACAACTTTGAAAACATTTCTTACTTAGTGTTATGATTATTGGCATGGAAGTAAAAGTTCCAACATAACTTGGTTATATTGTTGAGCATTTAATAAACTGAGAATGAATTTCAATTTCATATTTTTTTATATTGATTTGCCACTCAGTTGAATGATTTAGCAGCAATAAAAAGAAGTAAGAGTTAAGGTTTCCTCTTGAAGCACATTTGAGTGAAATGACCAGGCACAGTTGGATACCTTTTGTATTTTCTTTATTCAGACTGCTGGCTGCAGCCTCGATTGATTCATTGAAACCAGTGCAGGCCTACTTTGTCCATGAGGACACTCTGTCTCAGGTGATTGACCCAGCCACTCATGACTTTACAAAATCCAAGTACCCCCTGAAGGATAATAAACAGAAGGGTTCCAGTAGCACCGCCACTGTCGAGAAGGACACAGGAATTGCCACATTTAAAAGTCTTGAGCTGAAAAGTTTTAACAGAGAGAAGGAGAGCAACGTTGCAAAAGAAAAATTCAGACTTGTGTTTCAAACCAGGATGATAGTGGGAGAAAGACATATCAATCTTTGGGTGAGACTTTTAGTAAATATTATTTAAACTCAATTTTTGCAGTGTCTGTAACCTGCCATAGCTCAACTGTTTTTAAAGCATTATCAGGTGTACACTTAGGCTACATTACAGTTGAGTTATCTTGAAAGGATGTAGGAGTTATTTCAAACACTACTAACACATACTGACTATATGATTAATTCACGTATGGTATGTATATTTCAAGTCAAAGTACATGTACCTAGTATGAATACAATAAGTTACTTATCTCACGGAATGGAAGGCTGGTTTTAATAAAGTAAGCAGTTTTAAAGTTCTTATCTTTTCTTTCTCAGACAATGTCATTACCAATAGTGGTGATCACTGGTGCAAGTCAACAATGTAATGCTTGTGGCTCCCTCTTGTGGCAGTGTCTGAATCCAGCAGATGAGGTAAGACTACAATGTAATGCTCTTGTATGTATCTTGTTTCAGTCTCAATCTGACGTAAATGAATCATTGTCATGTATTAACAGATTTAATTCATACTTATCTCCATGGTAACATCAACCTACCACCTAGTCATAGATGATCACTCAAAAGTAAAAGGTCACATGAACATAGGAATGAGGGCATTTATGTCTTATAACAGACATTTTGTAGTTTTCAGGTTTCTGGTTTGGTATGCTTGAATTTAATAAATAATTGTAGAATGGATAGTTTTGCTGTCAAGGGTCTGTTTAAAGTAGGACAAAGTGTTTGTTGTTCATTGTGTCCACCTCTGCACTGTTTTTATTTACTTGACAGGGACAGTTTCCACCTCCTGCCTGCCCTGAGGACCTGCCTTGGTCCCAGGTAAAGGAATTGTTAGACACCAAAATAAAGTATCTTGGTGGACGAGGTCTCACCCTAGAGGAAGAGAAACATTTGATCTGCAGAATTACAGGTACTGAGTATATGTACAAAAAGAAATAAGATATCGGGTTGTATCTGATAACATGTATGTTAAATGAATTTTCTCTGTTTATGTTTGGTTACCAAAGGTTTATATGCTTAGTAAATTTTATGAATAACCATATCTTTCACCGTAAGTCACTTACTTTAAAGCCAAAAAGAAAGAAAACAACTTACTCCTTTCATGTTTATTTATTTGTAATTCACAGCTAACAATTTCAAACTAGACAAGTTCATGTATTGTTTGTTGGAGCAACATTTTGGCTGTATGGTGTTTTGATGGTTATGAAATGGCTTACATGTAATGCTGTTATTTCAGTGTCCACAAACATTCTACTTCAGTATCCACAAATATTCTACTCAGTGTCCACAAACATTCTACTTCAGTATCCACAAATACCGTAAATTTTCGCGTATAGTGCGCACTTTTTCAAGCTAAAACTATCGTGTCAAAAAGGGGGTGCGCATTATACGCAGGAACATGCCATTCTTGGGGCTATCATTCCCGAGTTCTGCGTCCGCCATATTGGATTACCTCCCTTCACATAGTTATATGTAAAAGTTGTCGGTCATTTTTGATAGTTTGGAGATAAAAACAACAAAAATGAAATAAAATAAAATAAATTTCGAATGTTTTAATCATCAGCCATTCACGCTAGCATTACGGTGAATCTAATTTTTTTTTCGTTTCCCGTCGTTCGAACAGTGCCGGTCTTACTATTGGTCGGGGTTATAGTAGTGTCTGAATTTCTGCCTCATTTTGATGATGTATCTGTGGAATTCAATGAGTTTTGGGCGATTGTCGTTCTGTTCATAAATCGGACAGCCCATCCCACCGATGCCCAAAGTTGGTGACCCCATGACCTCTCTTGATCTTCATGGCCCGCACGCGCAGTTCTGTTGCACCGGCAGCGATGCCGCCATCTCGGCGATCACATACAAAGTTGAAAAGCTCTCTCTCCATCTCTGGATGTTTCCCTGTCGCACCTATGTCAGCCCTTCTGGTCAATGGTTGGAACTTTAGACGGTCTTTTTTTTTCTTCCGTGCCTTGATATTTCACTCTGGAATGTCGAAGTGGCGACCGGCGGCACGAAACTCTAGTCTCTCGGCGTAGTAAATGGCGTTCGCTGTTTCCCCATGTTGAAGTCGGTGTAAACAATTTATGGGGACAAGGTATGATTGAAACTTTTCAAACAGTTAAAACAACATCGTTTTCTAAGCAATAGTACGTGTTCAGCCGAAGCCAGGTGTCATCAATCTCCTCATACTTTGTTACCTGTTAAGAACCGTTAATTATCCAATTAGCCAATCCTTTCATGCTTGTTAAGTCAGGCACCTGTGTGAATTTGTTGACATAAGGTAATTAAATATGTTAGGGTCACGATGATTGTGGTTTCCTTATTATTAATGGATCAAACCACAACTGTTTCATCGCGGTAACCAGTAATCGATTAATCTTTCTGTAGAATTTTTTTTTTTAATATGACCCCAAAAAAGTACCTGCGCACTATACCCGAGTGCACACTATACCCGCAAATTTACGGTATTCTATTTCAGTATCCACAAATATTCTATTTCAGTGTCTACAAATATTCTACTTCAGTATCCACAAATATTCTATTTCAGTGTCCACAAATGTTCTATTTCAATGTCTACAAATATTCTATTTCAGTGTCTACAAATATTCTACTTCAGTATCCACAAATATTCTACTTCAGTATCCACAAATATTCTATTTCAGTGTCCACAAATATTCTATTTCAGTGTCCAAAAGTATTCTATTTCAGTGTCCACAAATATTCTATTTCAGTGTCCAAAAGTATTCTATTTCAGTGTCCACAAATATTCTATTTCAGTGTCCAAAAGTATTCTATTTCAGTGTCCACAAATATTCTATTGATATATTTGACTTAAAGATCTACATTCTATATATCTAACCCACTTTTGATGTTGTTTCATTTAAATGGTGAATGATAGATAGATAATATTTTTCCAGGTGATCAAAATGCATCCGTTGATAAGGATCCCATGATTTCCTTCAGAAAATTTTGTATCGTAAGTATAGTTATTCATTACCATAATTATCCAACTATGACAACAATTTGTGTTAAAGATCAATTGATCTCTAGGGCTGATATTCTCTATTGAAATATCATCCAAGGCAAAAGTATTAGATGTTACAGAATGTCAGCCTGAGTCAGTACTTAAGATTGATCTCAGACAATCACAGGTAAATGATCATTTTCCCCATACATTATCACAGTCATGTATTGAAGACATTGGTGCCCTGTAATAACCAGATTATGCCTGTGCATCTGTTTTAATACCCCCTGCAGCAAAGTCTGACTGTTCAACATCCCTGTCCGGAAGCAATAGTTTTCAAGCGTAGCATACTACATCCTTACAATATAAAGTTGTGCCCTTTTGCTTTTCGTACAATTTCGACAACATTTTTAGAGTTATACCCCTTTTTGTAGATATTCTGTATGGAACATTTTGTCAACTAGATATAATTAATTACTGAATTAATATTTCTCAAACTTGGCATACTACCTTCCCATGATATAAAATTGTATCCTTTTGCTTTTCTTAAAATTCATTTAGATCTAATTAAGTAGTGAAGCAATATTTCTCAAACTTGGCATACTACATCCCTATGATATATGGTTGTGCCCTTTCATGTTTCATTTAAACTTGATCAAATGCTACAGCTAACTGTAGCCTATAATTTGACATATAAGGTGTTCCAAAACCTCTTGGAGGAATCTTGTTGGGACAACCACTCCAAAACTATTTTTGAATGTAGAGCAGAGGGCATTAGTTGGCCATCCTGGCAACAGTTCTGGTTTCTTTTATATCTTAGTTTCTTGGTTCTTATTCACTGGAAGGTCTGATTGACTATGCATCTTCAGAGGTAAAACGTCAAGGTGACCATTACTTAAAATTTAAACGGGATTTCAGAAATTTGTGGTAATTGACATAATTGACAAAAATCAGATGAGAAGTAAACTGACTACAAGTCAAGGTTATCGGGTCATAGATCAAGATCAGATTTTAAATAGTTTAAGGAGAAGATTGTGTTATGTCACTACAAAGTAAAGTTGACAATCAATTGAGAACTTGCCAAACTGCAGATCAAGTTCTTGAGGTTGAAGGTCAGCAGTAGGTAATTTGCTATGTCATTATCAAGCAAAGTTGGCCAGAGTCAACTGAGAAGTTGCCAGACTACAGGTCAAGTTCACCAGGTGAAACATAGGTCAAATTTTGAATAGTTTAGTGGTAAATATTTTGCAATGACACTATGAAGCAAAGCTTGGCAAAATCAAAGGGTAAGTTTCCAAACTTTAGGTTAAGGTGATAAGTTAAAAACTTAAAAGTCAAATTGAAATATTTCGATGGTAAATATTTTGTCGTGAAATTTTAAAGAAAAATTTATTAAAATCAAATTGAGAAGTTGCCTGGTCGATGTTATATTGAAATATTTTTCTGATAGATATTATGTGATAACATTACAAAGCAAAGTTGACCAGAATTATAAAAGGAAGATTAATGATTAATGCTTTGTTGTGACATTACTAACCAGAATGATCAACATAAAACAAATAAGTATTTGATAAGTTTGATATTAATTTCAGCCATATCTTAGCTGGAAAATATTTTTTTCTTAATTCAATGAATCAATAATAATCTTAATCAAATGAAGAGTCACTTTGTATTAAGGGGTTTTCAATGATAAGAATTGCAAAGTTGAACCATTCCAATCACACAACACACAATTGATAACTGCATAATTTGCCTAATTTTAATAGTGACAAGCATACTCTATATTGAGAGAGCAATGCATGTTCCCTACAAGCCTAAAAGTACCTTGACATCTCTGAAACTAGGCATGAACTTGTCCAAAAACATTTTGATGCCTGATAAGTGTGTGAAGTTTGATAGGAATCTCTCAAGAAATGAAGCCACTTGAGTGCTGACAATGATTTTCTAAAATTATTAAAGAGTGGTCTTGGCCCAACAATCCTAAAGAAATTAACTTGTCCAAGATAATTTTATGCTTTAGAAGTGTGTGAAATTTGATGAGAATTCTTGAAAGAATGCAGCCAGCTAGAACACTGACAAACTATCACAGATGTAGAGACGGTTGGTGCTAGAGCACTGACAAACTATCACAGATGTAGAGACAGTTGGTGCTAGAGCACGGACAAGCTATCACAGATGTAGGGACGGTTGGTGCTAGAGCACTGACAAACTATCACAGATGTAGAGACGGTTGGTGCTAGAGCACGGACAAGCTATCACAGATGTAGGGACGGTTGGTGCTAGAGCAATGACAAACTATCACAGATGTAGAGACGGTTGGTGCTAGAGCACTGACAAACTATCACAGATGTAGGGACAGTTGGTGCTAGAGCTTTGACAAACTATCACAGATGTAGGGACGGTTGGTGCTAGAGCACGGACAAGCTATCACAGATGTAGGGACGGTTGGTGCTAGAGCACTGACAAACTATCACAGATGTAGGGACGGTTGGTGCTAGAGCACTGACAAACTATCACAGATGTAGAGACGGTTGGTGCTAGAGCACGGACAAACTATCACAGATGTAGAGAGGGTTGGTGCTAGAGCACTGACAAACTATCACAGATGTAGGGACAGTTGGTGCTAGAGCACGGACAAACTATCACAGATGTAGGGACGGTCGGTGCTAGAGCACAGACAAGCTATCACAGATGTAGGGACAGTTGGACGAAGTTGAAAGCTCTAGTTTCCAATGGTTTCACTGGTCAGGGACTATTACACATTATCCAAGTTGCCATGAAGAATATATCAAACATTTACCAAGTGGAAATTATTTATCAGTGTTAGCTTGCCAGTCAGGTAAACACATTGCAGGTCCATTTCTGAGATGTCATTTCTGAATTCTTCTATTCAATTGTATCAGCTCCCCTGGCAGTTATACATCAGAAAGACAGTTGAATATAACTAGATGGATGGGACAAAATAAAAAAAATCTAGCAGTAGGTAATGGGTGAGCTTTCCCAGTTTCATATGTGAATGAACTTATGATTGTAAAATCATAGTGTTGGACTTGTAGCATGGATAAGGTATACAGCATATGTCAAAGACACAGCTTTCATTCCAAATGGAATACAAAAAAGGGACAGTTCTAATTCCCAATGTGGACAAATACTACAGTATATACAGATGGGATTCCAAACAAATGAATTATAGACATGTTTACTGTTAAGATTCATTTATCATTTAATAACTTTGGTATCATTCATAATACTTCTACATAAATTGCATAAAGAACAGATATAATAATGTCTAGATAAGTTCTATCTCTTAACAAAAGGACCTGTGTACGTGTTTGATAAACAAAATAGGATATCTTAATAACAGGGTTGAATGATTTTAGGACAAGATGATGGATATCAGCGATCCTCACAAGAAAGCTGAAGAACGTAAGAAGTCAGCAACATTCTGGATGTGGTTTCAGGCTGTTTATAACTTGATCAGTACTTACCTTAAGGAATACTGGAGGAGAGAGTAAGTACAGCATTCAAGGACCCTACTAGAGGAGGAGGGGGCATATACTCTACAAATATTGTCCACACTAATCCTCCTTAAGTTATGGACCCAATTCTATGAAACTAATCCGAAATATTAGAGACCATGTGTAGATGTACCTGCACTCCATGTCTTTTTTTGGGGGTGTTTCTTTTGCAGAGATGCTAGTGAAACTTTTTCAAATGTGTAACTTATTAAAGCCAATAATTTGACACATCAACATATTTCCAGAACCAATTATTTGCAATTATATACAAGATGATTGGAAGATTGAAATAAAAAAAAACATGCTGGTGGATTTAATAATCATATCTTTTAATATGAATCACAGTAATATCTTCTGGACTTTCGCAGTTACTTCAAAGCCATAGCAGAAGTTTACAATAGCCTTTTGCATCCTGGGATCAATAGGTCATCGGGTTATAGGTCAAATCCTAGAATGACTGCCATGCTTGTTTACCAAACTAATGACTTTGGGTAACTTAAAAGAAGAAATAATTGGGAATGTAAAAATTTGGTCAACATACATAGGCATTTGTTAATACTCAACAGTGCAGACACTGATGGAGAAATATTTTAGTAAACCATGTGTAATGTCAGGTCCATATCTGATGTGTTTTGAAATACATCAATAAATTCAAGGATTATTTGTATATAATTCATTTGCAATCTTTATTAAGTGTTTCATTGATGATCTTGATAAACTGCCCTATGATATCTGTTATATCAACAAACTTTGGTCAATGTAATGTGAGAACTTCCTTCCGTTATTTATTACTGGTATATCAAACATTAACAATAGTGGTCACCATATCGTCAGAAAATATGTGACTTATATGCAGATCATATATATATATATATACCGGTGTGGCTTATAACCAGGAAAATATGATTGGCTAAATGTATGTTCAATATTCATAGGAAGTGAATTCATTATCCCTTGTTATAAATTATTTTCCATTTTTGTAACTTTAACATTAAATAACACCCCCCCATCCTTCTCTTCACCTGCTGCCAACCTAAACAGGTCAAACATAAAATGTTGATGCTACTGGGACTGAAACTAAAATAATTGATGTTGAAACTTTTTGGCCGAGGGGGAAGGTATTATCTGTAGTTATTGATAATTTGGTAATCCAGATTTATGTGACTGTATTGTGATTTATTTACAGACTCATTCTTGGTTTTCTGGACAAAGATCAAGCAGAATATTGTCTGAAGGACTCTAAGCCCAACACTTTTCTTCTCCGGTTCAGTAACAAAATCATCACTGATGCTCAGGGCCAGAATATGTGTGGTGCTGTCTCAGTGTCCTATCGCACAGGTAGGCCTTCATAATGCCCAAATGCACAAATATCGAAAGGCAGATATTTTCTTTGTTATGTTGCAAAATAAACCTTTATCTGTACCCAACTATTGTCTAGGCTCTATCTTCTACACTACTCTTTACTTGAACTTTGTACATGGGGTACAAGGTCAGATTGGTGAGCTGGTAGTTGTGTCATGTTTAAAAAAAGTAGTTACAAACTATGTTGAATTTCCTTGCTGTGTGATTCTTGTATATTAACTGTTACATTTAAGATATAATGCTTACCAGATTCTGATATAGAATACCACTCATTCAGAAGATAATATCAATTATGAATTTGAATCAGTGAAATTACCCATTTATAAAAGTCATCCTGCCATTTCAAATCAGGACTAGTGGTTTAACACCTAGGAATGAGTTCTATCGTTGACTCAAATTAGTGGCATTGCTCCTTTGAATCTGATAATATCACGTATTTGTTTGAACTTCTGAATCCTGAATTTGCTCAACAAAAATAAGTGATATTCACACTTATACCTTCAAATTCAATCAAATAATGAAATGCCATAGAATACATGGTGTCACCAGATGTAATTATAAATGCAATACATATCAGTATAAACATCCATCAGATCCATCAGAGCAATTGTAGCACTGACACTATTACTTCTTGAACGGAAACAATGGTTCTGTCAACATTTATATTTAGAACTAGCTTGTGCACATGTTAATCATCAGTGCATTTTACATTTGATAGAGGACTGTACTTGGCCAAATTGTCTTGTTTATCTGTCTGTAGGAAATTGTTTGGTGTCGTATTACAGGTAGATCTCCATAAATTATCATATCAAAATGTGAAATAATCTGGCCAAAAAACTAATTTGTAAATGGAATGATTTTCTTGTTAAAATGCTGTACAGTGCAAAATAATTATTCATCCGTGGTCAGTCGTCAATCAACCATAAACAATTCTTGTTATCAATATTTCTTGAGAAGTACCAAATGGATCTTTCCCAAATTTTATTTGTATGTACCCTTTGGTTCCTAATTTTATCCAAGTGATTTTGGGACTGATTAGAAAAACAAAATAGCTGTCAGGCAGCTGTCTTGGATACTGACAATGAAAGATTGTTATCACTATATTTTGAGAAGTACTGAATGGATCTTTCTTAAATTTAGTTTAAACATTTGCCTTGGTCCAAAGTTATGACCCTCTGATTTTGAGACTGGTCAGAAAAACGAAAAGGTCAACAGGTGACCAACTTGTATTTGGAGGTAAAGATTATAATCACTGTTTCTTTAGAGGAATTCTCAAATTTTATATAATAAAGGGCAAAAAAACAGGGTAGAATTAATAGAAGAGAAAAGGTCCAACTTTTAAAGAGCTTACAAAGGCCAAATAATGGTGGTGTAAGATCCCTCTGGGATCTTTTTTTATCATCAGTCAACAATGGTCAACAGTGGTCAATAATGGACAGGCCTCTTTCTTGGTTTATCATTAGATCACTTGGCAAAAAAGGAAATGACCTTGATCCATATTCAAGGTCACTTCAATGAGATGAAATAATCATGTAAAAAGCTGAACAATACAGGTCTATTTGGCTTCTCATCTACAATATGACGTAGGTCGCTCTTACTTTAACCTTATTGTGTAATGTTGTGAGTGACAATCAAGGTCCTAAGCAAGGTATTGTATTCTACATAAAATGTTTGCAGTGGAAAGATGAATTTTTCTCCCTGAATTGTTTTAGGGTAAAATAGGACACATATTCAGTCAGTCTTCATTATTTCTTTACAGCTGCTGGAAAGATTGACCACATGGTTCCTTCTGATGCAGAGGTCTTAAAGAAATGTAACTTAGCCCAGATGCTAAAAAAAATGATCAATTGTCAAACTCTTGAATGTGAGATGAAATGGGTTTATCCAATGATGCATGACAGAGAGGAGGTGTATAAAGACTTCCTTGAAGGTAAGCCAACTGAACGTCTGTTTTACTTTATTTATTCACCTCTCTAGTCCCTGAAAAGTGGGTTCTACTATCATATAAATATTAGGTAATTAGTGGAGCAGCAAACGAAAGAAAGGGTATTAAATAAAAGTGTTCTTGCACTACTGAACATAGAAGATGTGATGGAAATACATATTGATTGAAAAAATAGTTACTGCCTGATAGATAAGATAAATATGTACAATATTCTTTATTAAAAAAAGAAAATAGTCATTATTTTGAATGAAAATAAGATAGGATTTACTTTCAATTGTCATTATTATTATTATTATTATTATTATTATTATTATCATTATTATACAGCTGATTCAGCAGAAGGCAAACACACTGATGGCTATACCAAGCTTAAGGAGATATTGTTCGTTGACCCAGTGAATGAGGTTACAAATCATTTTGGGTAAGTGGACTATAAGCTAGTATACCTTTTTCATGTTTTGCTAGCTCATTATCATTAGATGATAATGGGTTGTTGAAATTGTCCTTCCTCTATGATCCTGTGGGGAAGAGGACTGAATTTGGTACAAATGGATCTGGGTCTGAGCCTGGCAGAAGGGAGCTCTTGTCAGGTTCTGTCTTTACAGGAACTTTCTTCCTTCTTAATCAGTAGGGACAGAGAGGCAAGACCCAATAGTTGAAATAGGGGTAAAAATTTTAAAATCCTTCGTTTTTTGCTTTGAAATTTAATTTGAAGCTTTAATATTTCTCTTATGTTAAGGAAATTGACAAAAAAAAAATGTAAATAACAATGAAATGAAAGCAGAAATATATGTGTATCCAGGTGAGTGATACAGATCTCATGAGCATATTGTCTCATGTGGAATTTTTACCAAATTTGGTCTGAAACATCAGTGGTGGACAATCATTTGTGAAATTCTTGAAGTTTATTGGACCCTTGGGGACAAGGAGGCTAGACCCAATTGTGGGCATAAGCTTAACGTTTTATTTTCATATGCATAAATGGTTGGGGTGACCACATGGGGGCATATGGAAAGGGACTAACGGGGAAATGGATATAAACCCTTAGAATTTATTTTTCTTTAGTTTTGATGAGGCAGTTTTTACCAAACAAAGACAGGTGAGCCAAATGCCTCTTGTTTGTGTTGAAACCTAAATGACTGATTAATATGTTTCAACATTTTTCAGGAATTTGACAACAGCTGGACGTCCAAAGAAGAGGCCAGTGCATAGGGTCAAATGTCAAGCAGGGAATTCGAGCAATAGTAAGGTGGCTAAGGTTAATGCAGTCAGACATTCAGCACCAGATCAAAGTACAGAGCAAATACTAGATCAGGAAATAATGTCGAGGCAACAGTCTGGAAATCTACCAACACTGGTGTGTGAAAGGGAAGCAAGCATGCAGCAATCCAACAGTTCAATGCAAAGACTGTTACCAGGAAGAACTACGAGTAGGACAAGGTCAGAACCTCATGTTCCTGATGTAATGACCAAGCAGAAGTCTTCTATCACAAGTAGCCAGTCACATTCTTTTTCACCAAGTTATCCACTTCTTCAAACTATGTTATCTGAAAAGGTCAAGGATGGACTCAAACTCAAATTAACACAGGGTGAAGTAGAGGTCAATAAAAACATTAGTTGGAGTCAGGCCGAAGACAGAATGGACATGATTCACAAACAAAAGAAAACCATCATAGGAGGTAACAATGGGTTTATCCCAGTTGAAACAAAAGTCAGATTGAGTGACTCTCCTGCTGCTTTACTACCCATGCCTCAAGGTAGTTTGAAACAGAGTGGCTCTCCTCAGACTGAAACATTGGTGGATCCAAAGGTAGAATCACAGTTACCTTCACAAAATGCACTGTCCACAGTACAAGAGATAATAGTGTCACAAGACGACACACAAATGCTTTTCACACTAACCCCGTTGATTCCATGTGGGCCTTCCTTGCCTTCAGTATCTACCAACACTGAACTCATCAGTGAACAGCAGTTTCAAACACAAATACCCTTCTTTGAGGAACCCCAGCTCAATCTACATCAGAATTTCAATGGAGAGGAGAACACACAAGACGACCAACCCCTCCCAGATCTGTATGATGGTTGCAACGGTAATTTTGATCTCCTTGAATATTTGGAAAGTCCAGAACATGACAATGCTGAAATTAATGAAACCATGCAACAAACTTTCAACGAGGTATGTATCAGAAGATGATTAAGTGTATGGCAATTTCATAACTGTATTCAAAAGGTTAAGTTTGTTGGGAAAACAAGCAACACAATATGTATTTCCCCTCTACAAAACATTGAACATGTCATGGCATTTATGTCTTTTGTTGTTCTTGCATTTGTCTATCTGCAGCTATTTCCTTTTAAATAACTAATGTTTAGCTGGTAGCATGCATAAATGAAAGGATTTCTCATTTGTGTTCTTTAATGACCTTAACCAACTTTCAAGGTCAGAGGGGATAAATAATTAAAAATTTGAAAACCTTTTCATAGCAATCAGGAAGTCCAGCTGGGTTTTGATATTTGACCTTTCACATGTTCATGGAAAGAGTATCTAGTTTGCTCATTAGAGTCCACATCGAAGCTGCCACTTGCACTTGAACTTTTCCCAGAGCTTCTTTGCAGGAATTGCCTATGTGGAAATGATTTCTAGATGCTGATGCTGAAGATAAAGGTCTTTATCACTATAATAAGTAACTTCCAAACTACAGGTCAAGGTCACAAGGTCAAAGGTCAAGGTCAACATCAACTTTACAGTTTGATGAAATAATATTTATGAGCAATATACCTAAATGTGAAATGCAGTAGTTAACTTAAAACAGTGGACCATCTGTTCTCAAATTTTTTGAGATTTTTAATAAAAGAGAACCTCATTGAGCTGCCATTAATTGGGGTACTCTTATGTTCACAAAGTTGATATAAGAATTGATAGATCCTTAATATCATGTGTGCCTTCCTCAAACAGCCATAGTGTCTGTAATTCTGAGTGGTATGGAGTTTATAAGGACATTGGCTTGGCTGTCCTTAGAGGATGTTATTCCATTCCTCAGTAAGTATGTTGGCTAATTTTTTTCGATTGGCGACAAATTGGGTCTAATAGAGATAATTATGTGGGTTGCAGAAAAGTCCCTACAAACTCTTACAATGTGTGGCCATGCGTTACATGCTGAAAGGTCAAATGGTGCTTATAATGAAAGGCCTCAAGATCTCATCTTGGTAGCATACAGCTGTTAAATTCCCATCAATGTTTACTTAAAGTGTCATTAAACCATGGGAAACATCTCTCCAAACTATAACCGATCCACTCTCAGATCTGTAGTGCTCCAAAACTGTCAGCAAGACACTCTCCTCGACGCCAGTGCAAATGTTGGCAGCCATCTCATCTGAATAACATGATATGAGATTCATCTGTGAAGAGTATGGACTTGCAATGCCTCTTAGGGAAACTTATGGGCACCTGTGCTGTCAGCATGGGTGTTAGATTGCCTCTTGCAGTCTAATTCTCCCACTTTTTGGGTATATTCAATGCTTTTCATTACCAATAGTATTTTGTGCTGTTTTGGCATCCATTAATCTCAGGCATGTGCACAAGCCTAATGAACAGATCTTGACTTCGCGATACAAAACAAACCTTTCACTCCAACAGCCTGTAATCAATATAGAAAGTATCACACTGATATAATCCAAACAAGGAATAATTAGGATCAATTCAATGTTTCTTCATCACATTATGTAAATAGAAGTGCTTTATGAAATGTTGGGATTATATATTTTGCTAGTGATGTCGTTTGATGTTGATGTTGATGTCCGTATAGTTGTATAGATGATAGATGTGAATACTATGGTGATAATTGTATACCATTTTCTTTCTACAGATGGGATCATCTGGTATGTAAGCTGTTACAGTGCTGCAGAGCCAGAAGACTTTAAACAGCAATGGATTATGTGATCATCTTTAATGAAACATGGTCCAAAATGAAACTAATCAAAGCTCATAACTTGACACTTAAGATGTCTCCAGAACCATTGCCATGGAATCGTAATGGAGCCTTCAGACTGACTTGATATTGTCTGATTAGGCTGAATATTGATATAGAAGGGTTTCAAAGATTGATTATTACAATGGTACTTTTTTCCAAAACATTTAATGTTATTTGGTTGCTTTGGTAACCAAATGAGACCTGTAATTAAAGGGAAAAAAACATTTAATGTTATTTGGTTGCTTTGGTAACCAAATAAGACCTGTAATTAAAGGGATCTTGTCCATACTTACCCTTCACTGAGGAACAATACCCATGAACACACCTAAATGTTATGAGCCATATGCAGATGAACACAGATTCTTCTTAGTACCCAGGTCACTGTTCATATGAATTTATGTAATGGCCCATAGCTCTCATAATATACAGCAAGAACATACATAGATCAAAACACAAACTGTGTCACCACGGTAACTGGTAATCAATATCTATATTATATATACATTTTTTTTTAAATCTGACCCCAAAAATGTACCTGTGCACTATACCGGAGTGTGCACTATACCCACAGATTTATGGTATATATTGAGGGAAATTCATGGTCATACATAAAACATTGAGTTCACTGAGACTGAAGTGAAAACAATTGATGTGTTAACTTTACAGATCAGCAGAGGAATGTTATTTGTCCTCAGGATATCAGTTCTAGTTAAACTCAAATTTGAGTCAAAAGTTTTAATGAAATTTGAAAAAATACTGTGGACCTGTGATAATCCAGCTAGATGCTGATAGAATAGAACAAGAGTTTCAGTTTTTTGTTTTATTCACAATCATAGTGATTGTTTGTAATTTTTTATGCAGTCACTCTAACTTTATGTACTTTCTATAATGTGTATAGAATATGTTGTACCTTTTTGTAGTATTGATGTTAAGGAAATTCCCAAGCAAGGCAGGTTATCGGTTCTATGACCAAGCAAAGTAATTCTCTGTTTGATGTTCAAATTAAAATGAGTGTCAAGCAGGACAGAAAGGACTGTAGCTGTCCGTATAATGTGAGTAATGCTCATAGTCAATTATTTTTGTGTCCATGTTATGACTTTTCAGTGTGATAGCACTTTAAATGTATCTTTTATTGATTCCATTATCAGTGGACACCATCGTCATAAGACTTTAAATATTGTATGTATAAAAACAAAACAAAAAATCTTTGTAATATAGTTTATGCCACGTAATATTTCTCATGTACTTCTGTCCCATCCTGTCATCCCTTTCTGTCCCAAATCACCACCATTGCTCTAAAGATTTAACTTCTGTAAGGATTTTGGTCAAATTAATACCAAGATAAACTGTAACAATCCTTAAATGAGAATATTTCACATGTTTTAGCATAAATTATTGATGTCTATTCAGGACTTCATGTAAAACTATGTTGTATGTATCTTTTACATGCACAATTTATACAATCAAACATATATATAGTGTGTTTTATGTAATGTAGATAATGTATTTATACTTGTAAAAAGAACATTTCAAATGTATTTTTGTCCTTAGATATGCAAATTTATACAACAGTACATTAACTAGATCAAAGACATGCTTAAAGCATATAAAAATCTTTTGTGTCATGATAATTTGATGTTACGCTTTTAATGTGTGATTTTGATGTTTCTGTAAAACAGGAAACCAATGAGATTATTGGTCACATTATTGATCACTAGTAATTGGTTTTAGTCTTAGTTACATTATACTCACCCAATTTGGATTATGTTGTCATTATACTTAGATCATTGATGTTTGAAACTTTGTTCAGACTCCATAGAAGTCTATGCTTATTTAATTGTAGTATTTATACACAACATAAGAAACGCCATAGTTAGGGTTTACATACTATTTATTATTTAAAACACTACATAACAAGATTGTCATAATAAATACATTTGGCTCTTCTTTGGGGCTACTCACCATGTGTATACCTTATAAAAACATTCACATAACACATTAACTTCCTAATAATTTAACCTGATCCGAAACTTAAATGATAACATGTTATTATCTGATTGAACATGTAAAATTTAGTTATTATCTAAATGGGGAAAAGAATTTCCTGAAATTCTATTGGCCAAACGAATGAATTTTTGCTATGTGTACAGCAACAATGAGTGAGAGCCCCAAGAAATACTTAGATCATTGATGTTTGAAACTTTGTTCAGACTCCATAGAAGTCTATGCTTATTTAATTGTAGTATTCATCTATTTTACAACATTTGCAAAGAAGCTTAAATAAAAGTGCACAAGGGAGTAATGTGGACTACCTGGGGAAACCCATAGCTACATGGTCAACCAGGTCACCCCAAACCTTTCTTTGTCAGACCAGGCAACCAAACCCTGGTTGTCTAGGTGAAAGAACTGTTATTGTTAAGTTGTTGACTATAATACTGTATCACTGCTAACCTCACACTTTACAATGCTCTCATCTAAAAATGTTGTTACCTTAAAAACTTTCCCAATGATATACTAGTTGTCCAAATTAACACCCTTTCCTCCTTCCCTCTTCTAACCTCACACTTTACAATGCTCTCATCTAAAAATGTTGTTAAGTGGAGAAGGTTGATGAAGTCATTGTCTTTATGTTATCAGAAAGCAAAGACTGTTTATGAGAAAAGCTCTCACGTTAATGAGAAAATATGGTGGAGCAATGGAAAGTTAGGTAGTGTTGTGCTATATAACATGAGCTCTATTCTAACCACTAACATCAAGGCCATATGAGAATGTCCAATTACCAAGTTAATCATCTGTCTGTGTAATGTTGATGAAAAGTAGGCGAGTTAATGTCAGCACAGAGTGCAGGTTAGGATGTGTTAGGATTAAGCCCAGCTCAGAAAAATGTTATTTGATCAGGTGGACATTGAAAATACATACAATATCAAGTTACCACAGGTTAGAAACTGCCTTTTTCTCTAATGTCATCACGTCATGTCATGTAAATATTTTGTGTGTTGACCTTGATCAGAGTTAACTTGGGATAATATTAAGCCACAGGAGTCAACCTCTAAAATATAGCTTTAGGTCATAGGAACACTAGCACAGTCAAGTCATGTCAATCCCACCCTCATTCCATCACTATCCACTTTCACATAATACTTTCCAGATTCTACTAACTTACTTTTCTCATCTACTGAAAGGCCAAAAGGCTAAATTTGTAATTTTTTCTAGTAATATATCATGAAACCTATATATTGTTTCACAGTAACTCAGTAACATATAAAGTGAAAAAGTAGGGTTCAGCTGCTCTGTCTATTACCATGGAATCATTTACATTGGTATGAGATTTATTTTCGTTAATTCTATGGATACTGGTTATCAGTAAATTCATATGTCCATGAATTGTTATCAATGTAATTACATCTGATTAAATCCGAAAAATCATTTTACCCATAAAATAGTGATTTTTGAAAAACATTAAAAATTGAGTCAATTGAGCTTTTTTTTGCCAGGAATTAAGTTTTCTATTTCAAACTTTAACATGACACTTTTGTTAACCTATATTAAATGTAGAAGGATGAGTAAGTGCTAAGGAAAGTGCTAACTTCACTGTTTAGTGGGTTTTTTACACTGGAATGAGCTGTGAACCATTTGTATTGGGTTGTAATATATAACATTGTAGATGTATTTGTTTTGGAAAGCACAAGGAGTTGGTTACAAATAAAACCTAAAAACAAGGGCAAAATATTGTAATATTAAGCTGTACTCATATAGATAAAATAAGAATGACATAGTTGCTTATCATTGCAGGGATAAATATGTTCGCTATTTCTTGGTACATTAAAATGATCGCAAAAATTAAGTCCTTGAAATAATGAGACCAGTGTGTGTAAGACATTCCTTTACCCAGAGCACAAAATTTTCATTTGTTAAAAGATAATTCAGCCAGGTGTGTATGGTAAACCCTATTCTGCATTTATTCATAAGTCTTTTCTAAAATCATATTAACCATATTGGAACTGCACTGATGTTAGGTCTTTGCTGAGTTTTCCTGTTGTGTATGCATCACAAATTGTGCAATGTTTTGCAATCCCACAGCTGTATATATGCACCTGGTAGCTATGCTGGAGTATCCAGCATTTGAATCAAGAGATTTTAATGGAGTTATTGCCCTTTTTGGATTGCAGAAATGTCATGTTTGACATCTTTAGATGGTGCGGCTTGTCAGATCACCTTATATCCATGGTCCATTGCCCGTCCGACAGGCGGCCATCTTGGAATTTGATTTTGAAAGTTTGTTATCGCCATTCCTCAAGAAATATTGGATGGATCTTTTTTCAGATTTCATATGTAGGTTCCCCTTAATCCCTAATTGTGACCGTTTGATTTTGGGACTGATCAGAGAAACAAAATGGTCAACAGGCAGCCATCTTGGATTTTGACATTGCAAATTTGTTATCAATATTTCTAAAGAATCAATGCATACATCTTTCTCAAATTTTAAGTGAAGGGGCCCCTGGTTGCTCCCTTTTGATTTTTGGTCTGATCAGAAAAACAAATGACCAACAGGCAGACATCTTGGATTTTGTATTAGAAAGTTTATCGCTTTTTCTTGTCAACTACAGCAAAGATTTTTTTTCAAATTTCATGTGTATGTTTCTCTTGATGCCTAATTGTACCTGTTAGATTTTGGTACTGATCAGAAAAAGAAAATGGCTAACAGGTGGTTATCTTAGATTTTGATTTTGAAGTTTGTTATTGCTACTTCTTGAGAAATACTGCATAGATATTTCTCAAATTTCATGTATTGGTTCCTTTTTGTCCCTAGTTGTGCTGTTTAATTTTGGGACTGATCAGAAAAAACAAAATGGCCAACAGGCAGCGCTCTTGGATTTTGCATAGTTAAGATTGTTATCCCTATTTCTTAAGAAGTAATGACTGGATCTCTCTCAGATTCCATTACATTGGTCTCTACTTGTGTCCATTTGATTTTAAGACTGATCAGAAAAAAGAATGGTTTCCATGTGACCATCTTGGATTTGGCAGATCAAGATTTATCATCCCGATTTCTGCAAAGGAATGTTCAAATTTCTTATCATTAAAAGCAAAAACAGAGAAGAGAAAAAAGAAGGGAAAATATAAAGATCTAACATAGATGGGTGCCAAGATCCCTCTGGGATCTCTTGTTAATCTTTCAAAGTTTGTCAAGGTGCACGTAATATATTTTGTTTAAGAACCTGATTAATTAACATGATATTTTTCATTGTAAATAATTAGGTACTTTACTGCTCTTGGTTTGTTCTCATGCTGAGGCCAAGATAGATGTTATAATGGAGGACACTATTTCTTGCTTTCTTTTTTTAGGCTAAACGTACTCAGTACGCATAGCCTATTGCGACGGCCTTTCAGACAAAATTTACCGATTCTGGCCTTCTCATTGGCTGAAATATCAAAAAGAGTTAGAGCCCTCTGGCAGCAATTTTCTGCGTAAATAATGCTGCGATCTTTCAAATCGCTATTTTAACAGCATCCAAAATTAGTTTATTTTTTTAATAACAATACGATTACTATATATTTCAAAAAAGAAGCACAGTGTGGTTGAACTATTGATAAATTTTGAACAATATATTTTACGGAATTCTAAGCGTACACAGAACACTGTACGTGCGAGTTGATAAGAAGCTAGTCTGGGGGCTTGGTTTGAATTATCAAGGAACAGCACTTATAAACAAACAAAGCTTACAAACAGAATATCAATTTTGTTTTAATCCTTGTCGTTGTGGCAAGATCGTCTTAATATATAACATCACTTTATCTCATTAGACGTCACCGAATTGGACTGTTCGTCCCATAGTGAAAATATTGTAAATTTTGTATATATATGGAAGTCTGGTTTAATCTCAAAGAACTATGTCTTTATAGACATAATTACTGGAAGAAAAGTCTTACCATGATACTTCAAGGAAGATAGGCATGTAAATACATTTAATGTAATTACTTACACTTTTATCTATCTGAAATGCTGTGTACACCTTATCTACTTTGCAATACATTCAAAATAAAGAAGTAGGTAGAAAGTCCTTTCGATTTGTTTAAATCCTCATATTGATAGGATAGTAAGTGCAACATCTTGGGTATTTCAAAGGTTTTATTTAGTCAACTTCATCATAGAACTATTTATCATTTGGCTTGTTGGCGATAAATATATGGTTGTGTGTATTTTGTTATTTTTTTTTTACCTGTTTTGATTTGTTCACATTATTGTCGTCAAATTTGAAATAAGAATTAAAGAAGATATAAAATCACTTAAAATTAAGAAAAATAGCCTCTGGTCCTCTTATTTTAGTAATTTTTGCATTCCAAAGTGTAGGAGTATGGGGAAAGTAATATAGCTTTGCTGTTATTTGTGAACATTTTTCAATACGTTTAGCCTCTCAGTACTTTCAGTACTTTGATTTTGTTTGGGGTTTTATTTTTCATTGTATTATTTCATTGTGATTAAGTAACACAATATTCTATAATATCACAAAATATTTTATTACACAGGGTTGTACATAATCATGAATAAAATACAAATAATTTTTGAGTATCTATGGATTTAATCTATGGATATCAACAGTGCAGTATCAAATTTAATCTCAAAAGATGATTTTATACAAACAGATTAGATTATTCATGCTAGCTGCAGTGCATGTTCAATTACAAAGGGCTCTCTTATGACTGACAATTCTTGAAATTTTAAGCACCTTCAAAAGTACAAATTGTTTATCTTGTCAAAACATTTCATTAGTGCTTAAAGACTTGAGAGTCTATGCTGATATTGAGGTGACAAACTTGTACTTAAAGGTCCTTGGAAATCCTGAAAGTAACACATTAAAAAATACTACAAATATTACATTGGATACTGGTCATAAAAACATCTGTTGAGACCCTTGAAAACTGATTTTACAAACAACTTTTTTGAAAAATAAGACTGGTAAATAAACCAGAATGTACTGTAATATCTCTGATCATACAATACCCAGTTACACATTTAATGTGAATGCTAATAAGTATTTCACAATCTTTATAAATGGAAATAGATTTTCTAACAAATGTTCCTTTATACATCACTATTGCTTGATGGAGACTTTATGGTCACAATTGAAATTCCAAGTGCAATTATATAGCAGAGATGAGTGAAAATATTGGTGATGATGAACATTGAATTTTGTATTTAATTATTCATAGAAAATATGACCAGATTTTTTTCAAACTGGGAAAACAAATGTTATATAGCATTCATTGGATAAATAGCTTGACATCATAACTGAAGGTCACATGATGTTGTACAAAAAGCATGTACAATGTATGAAAAGAGCTACGGCTACCAAGTTTGCAATATAACAATGATGTATCCTAGATTATTGGAGAAGGAAAAGAATTCCCCAATCAGACATGCTCCTGCATTTTAATGTGGAAGGAATTGTATTACTTTGAATATATATTGGTCAGTCACTTCTTAGTTGTGACAAAAAAATAAATTTTTGTATAACTGTTGCAATTAAATACAACTAAAGCATAGAGAATGAGTTACAGCTGTTATGTCAACATTTTCCAACCTTTTTATACGATTGACTATCCAGCAAGAAAAAAAGAAAAAGAAAAAAAAAATGTACAAATAGTTTTTGCACTCGCTTTCATTAAGTTTTGATTAATTGTCTGGTATTCACATTTTTGTTTTTTGTTGCCAATAAAATAACAATTACGAAAAACCTCATCAGTTTTGATTTTTATTTACCTGCATTTTTATGACCAAACACTTTCATGGTCAGGGCATATTGTGTTATACTTGTCAGTCAACCCATCACTCCACCATAATTTTGTTTCTACTCGCTTCCTCATTCATGGATACAGATACAGAACTAATTTGATGTGTATAGTTATATAATAATGATATGCAAGTCAAGTTGTGATTCAGTGATGGTCAGGTGTTTTGTTTTCCAAAGTTATAGCTATTTAATTTAGAAGATTTTGAAATTTTCAAGGAAATGCTAAGAACATGATTGGGTAGCCTTCCTCAACACAACAATAATCTAGAATAAGAGCCCCTTGGGTGATCATCTGGCTGTAATATATATGTATATGAAAGAGGCAAACTAAGCCTAAAAGAAATTGCTCAACTACTCTTATAGCTTACATAAAAAACATTGTTGGTTTATCAAGACATTTTCTGCAAACTTGAAATCATATTCTTTATACATTTATACATCTTTATATATTCTTTAGACCCTTCGCCTTTTAGTGATTGAGAAGAAACTGCTTAAGCATTTTAACACATTTGACCTCTGTGACCTTGAAAGTAGGTCGAATATCAGTACCCTGAGCCATCTGGTCATTGAGAAGAAGCCATATAAACATTTAAACACATCTGATACCTGACCTTGAAAGTGGGTCAATGTCATTCACATTAAGAAATTTGGTAGTTCTACATCCTAGATTGCTACAGGTTAAATATTATCAACCTGGGCCTTTCATTTATTAAGAGGAAGTTGCTTAAGCATTCCAACACATTTGACCCTTGTGACCTTGAAAGTTGGTCCAATATCAGCTCCCTTGGGTCTTTCAGTTATTGAAAAGAAGTCATTTAAACATTCTAAGACATTTGATCCCTGTGACCTTTCAAGCGTATCAAGTTAATTCCTGTGAACTAGGGGTCAAATCAACTTTCTGAATTTAAGAAATAATTCTCCACTTTCAATGATGTTTGACCAAATTTGGTTTAAATCCATTCAAGCATTGAAAAGAAGTAGCGTTTTGAAGCAAAAGTATTGTCTAATATCCCTTTTTGGGGCCCTGCTCAATAGCCCCTTGGCATCAATCAACTTTCTAAATATCAGAAATGATTCTCTATTTTCAATTATGTTTCAGACCAAATATAGTTTAATCCATTCAAGCATTAAGATTGAGATGCATTTTGAAGCAAAATATTGTCTAAATTCCCTATTTTTGGCCTCACCCACCCCTAGATCTCTAAATCTAACATCAGCACTTCCCCTTTTACGGCCCTGTCCCTTGACCCCAGGAGATCAAATCAAAATTCTGAATTTCAGAAATGACTTCCCTCACCCAATGGTGCATCACACCAGATTTGCTTGAAATCCATTTCTAATTCTTTACCACTGATTCTACAGTCAGAACTTCTATTTTATTTTGTGAATCACGAGTACACCTCTGTCCCTTTGCTTTAGAAATGTCATAAATATGTATAAATCACAAGCAAATAACACTCAAGAGATCAAAATTTCTGCTTGATTGCTAACAGGGACATTCCTGTCATTACAATATAGCTAATTCTATAAAAACATGTCTTACATAATTTATAATTGTTGTAATCTCTATTGAACAGATAATGTACATACTTTTATCATAACAATAAACATCACACAATCGACAGACCTTTACCATGTTGCAATTAGACAGAACATGGGTAAGCCAAAACTACTGTTTTCTTAAAAAATTCTTAAATGTCACCATCAGTTACCAGAGGAATATCGATGTAGTGTAAACTTAGAAATGTTGACTCGTAACATTTGACAATTTATGGGAAGAGATAACAAGCAGGATCTCGAGATGTGCCACTGGATCCACTAATCACTGACCAGTCTTGTATTCAATGTAAATCAATGGAGCAGTTATAATTTTAGATTATTAAATGTCTTGCCATTATACGATTCATGTGCCTTAACTAATTTTACCCGTTGTAGGTATTCCTTGGTGTTGCTAATGGTAACAGAAATTGTTGTCATGTAACACATATGCAGACATGTAATGGTAAGCAGGATACAAGAAGTCCTTGGATGTGGTAGAGCTGCCTAAATTACCATCTCACATACTGACAGTTACATCAGCCTGCTAAAGGGTTAGCATGTATTGTTATGTCTTGTATTCGTATGTCAGAGAGAGGACGAAAGTTTTTTTCTTTCACTGGCAATTTCTCCAGTTCATCCAATGTATCAAACCCATCAATAACTCTGCAAAAGAAAATGAAATATGTCAAGTACAACACCAAGTCAGGTTTAAGATAAACATGTGTACCGGTATATAAAGCTAGAAAAAATATCAGTTTTCAAATGAGAATTGTTTCCAATACATGTACCTAAAAATGTACCCGAAAAACCAAAGTGCAAACTTCTCGTGTTACAAAATATTTCTGTATTTATTAAGGTACTACATCAGGTCTACTTATCACTAAATACAATGTACAAAGTCATCAATTCATACACACCATTTTAGTATTTTTGTTAAAAATGAAAAACTTTGTAAAATGAGGTGAGCAAAGAAAAATCCCACTTACTTCCCAAAGATGGTGTATTTGGCATCCAGATGTGGCTGTTTAGCATATGTGATGAAAAATTGTGATCCATTAGAGTCTGGACCATTGTTTGCCATGGAAACAACACCTCGCACAGAATGCTTCAAGTAGAGTTCAATACAAACATCACAATATGACCATCCAATTTTGAATTGTACAATTACAAATATTATCCATACAAGGCAACCAAATTCTTTATTAATATAACTTTGCTGATTACTGCATGTTCCTTGCTCACAGCTTAAGGTTTTATCATTCCATCCTATGTGACAATACGCCATATCTACCTATAAGTCATGTTTTAAGACAAGAAACAAAACACCCAATCATTTGAACATTTCTTAGGATTTATATCCAATCTCATGAGTTCATTCTTAAAGCCCAACAAGTGAATCATGTTAGTTGTGAAAAAAGCTTGATGTAAATTAAACTGATTTGGAAGGAACATTAAATTACAAATGGTTTTCCTGTGCAAGATATGTTTAATAATTATTACTTTTAAAAACTCTAAAGCAAGCTCAATATACTGGTTATCTCCCCAAGTAGATTTGAATTAAATGTTTTGTTTATTTTTAGTGAGAAACAATTCAATCCTGGTTAGAGTCATTACCATCAGATAGCTGTTTGATTTTACATAATGAACAAGAGTGTTGTTGACACAATATATGACTTTGTTTGATTTTGTCATCCACATCTTTTTACTGGTTTGCAAAAATAAAATCTTCAAAGATTCCTTTCATAAAGTGGCATATGAAAAGAAAACTCATGTAAGATCCTATATTTACATACTTGAAAGCTAACCTGAATCGGTGTCATTATCATCATAATTTTTACCTAGAATTTAAGTCTTTATACGCTTTTCATCCAACTATTTAAAGACATATTACATACATTGATTTATCTTAAAAATATCAACTCGTCAAACTTATCAATATTTCTCTTGCCTATCACTGGGTGAAAATGTTAGCAAATGTTATTATCATCTCATATTTCTTCTCCATTAATTGTTTATAGGTTCTATTTCACAATATCTTTGTAATTTCCAAGATTCAAGTTCTGAAAATAAATCTTTTCTGGTGAGTTTTATTTTGAAATCGTGAGAAATAGTACTAAGTAGTAAAACAAAAATTCCAGATTACAGTTCCCATGAGCACACTGCCCAAACAAGGTGAATCCATACCCAAAATTCCAAGTTCTTGAATTTCCAGTGACAAGCAGTAAAAAAGATAAGAGACCACACAACCTTTATTTATGCAGGTTACAGGTCAAAAAGTAAATCTGAGTGACCTGCTTTTGATACAGGATATGTTGCCTCACAAAGGTGAACCCATATTCCTAGTATGAAGTTACAGTGACAAGGAGTGTAGGGGATAGAACCTGGACAAACTTTCCCTTTATTGAAGGTCAGAGGTCAAAATGCAGTTCTTTGATACATAACACACCATCTCACCAAGGTGAACCCATATGCTAAGTATGAAATTTTAATAACAAAATCATGTAGAAGATAGAGCTGAGACAATATAGTGGAAGGAGGGAAAAAGATGGACACAACACAAACACACAGTTCCCTCCAGGAAAACAAAAAAATTACAAGCCGATTTGTTTGATACTAAATGGTTTCTTCAAAAAACAGAAATTCCAACACTGCATAATGATATCAAGGTAACTGTGTATGCCTTTTGACTGTCATTTTTGTTTACATCTTGTTCAGTACGAACTACAGTCATTAGTCTTATACTAAAATAGTCCAGCTATACTGACCAGTTTACTCAAACATTTAAAATATACCACTCACCTTAAGGTTGTCACGAAACTCATCCTCAAATTTCCTGTCCCATATACTGGTGCCACCCTTTCCTGTCCCTGCACAAACAAATTATTAACATACAGTATCATTAATATGATAATATGATAGCATATGATATTCCACAAGAACAGAAATTTAACACTGTAAACTGTGTGAAAATGTAAGAGATCCTGTATTCAATCAAAATCCTGTTTCAAACTACTAAATGTCTTTATGGATTACAATTGGGAATTGTATAAATTAACATATTTATGAAAGCGAGATAAGAGATCAGCCATATATATCATATTTGATTTGATATTGTTAAAGAACCTATTATAACCTACGAGTTCCTACCTGTGGGATCTCCTGTTTGTACCATGAACCCTTTAATGTTTCGGTGAAATATGCAGCCTTTGTAATAGTCACTTGCGCACAATGCCAAAAAGTTCTAGGAGAGAAAATTTCACATAAATTTTATTTTTTTTACCTATGTTTAAATCAAATCTTAACATCGTTTAAATATATGCACTAAAAAACAGATTTTATGGTCTTTAAACAATTTTGATCATTAGAATGAAGACATGTAAACTATTCTACAGATTCTATCCAATTGTCTTTAAACAACTTTGATCATTAGAATGCATAAATGTAAACCATTCTACATATTCTATCCAATGTAATTACTCTAGTAACATGAGGTCTAATGGTGACCTGAGAAAAGCAATATTGAAAATTAAGGTTAAAGGGTAAGTAGCTCTAAAGTGTTATGAAAAAGAAATTGTGACATTGATGACAGTAAGCAAGTGTTAATATATGCATACCATCAAGATTGTCATCCTATACTAATAATTTTTACAAAGTTATTTCCAGTGGGAAATGAAAACTTTAGGTTTAAAAATGCATTTTTTTTCTATCAAAATTATTAGAAAAATTATTGTCCATTTTCCACCATATTTGAAAAATTTGTAGAATTGTTTCATAAATTCACATATCACACATGGAAACTCACTTAAGACTTTAGTTTTATGTATAGTTTTAATTTTCAATTACAGTTCATATAGCTTCCATCTAAATTTGTTATTACTTACCAACTAAAATACATTTTTGTGATCTTATATTTCATTTCTAAACTCTGTTTGCTATTGACAAAACAAAAACCATAATGACAGATACATCATATTTACCTCACTTGATGCTGGACATTGCTCACAGAAAACCTCAATCTTGATATCTCCTACATCAGTATGAAGAGTTACAGACTGCAAGACAAAACTAGCTATTACAACACAAATCATTTTACTGGTCTAATATAGGTTCCAGATAGTTTTGTATGTTCCTTAACAAGAAATTATATATTAATAGTGATATACTATTGAAAATTGTTTTACTTCAAAAAACAACTTTGTACATGTACCTTGAAGTAGTTTTCAACATTTACAACATTTTTTTCAATTACAGTATAGTGGCCATGAGGTTTATTTGGTTTATTTGGTTTTTGTATGCTTGCTTTCACCAATGATATAAAGGGTATTAAAAGTATTTGCATATTTGTGTAGAAGTTGAGAGTACATGTCACCTTACAAGCTTAATTGGGCTTGTCGTAATTCCCTTTTAGTTAAGGGTTGCTAGTTCAAACTCCTCTGGAATCATAACTTTTTTTGTCAAAAAAGTAACACTTAAACTAGATGAGGGTTTTAATAAACAATATCCCAACATACTGCCATTAATTTTGATTAAAATAATCAGAGTGATTATTTGAATTATATAACTCAATAACATGTACTACCAATCAAGCCCAGCTGGGAATCTATGATGTATGAATACAAAACTGATAGCATTATGATCACCAGGTAAATGTAAACTATAAACAGCCCAGCACAAGAACCGTACGTTCTATACGAGACATGTTAGTATAGTACAACTAGCAGGACTGAAGTACATACGGTTTCTGTCCTATTCAGTTGATTTAAAAAGTATTTAATAGCTATATTTCACATAAGTGGCCAGGGAGTAATTAGTCCTTGTGGATCTTTTTATGCCCAAGAATTCGTTATCAAAGATTTTAATCTTTTCTGTATCATATACAACACAAAAACAACATCTAGACGTGCAGTTTATGGTGTTATATGTTATAAACAGATGACGGGAGTCCCGTCCTACTTGTAGTTAAGTAGTTGCTCACAAGAGTAATCGATAATGCAGATTATGCATTTATCGGTCAAATAATAGATATGTGTGCTCTTAATTTATACATTCAAGAAAGTTTCAAAATATGATCGTATATATTATACCATTTTAGTTCCCTGGTACTGAAAACGTGTTTCCCACGTTTGTTTATACCGGAAGTAATTTTCCGGAAGCGGTTTTTCCAGATTTATGAGAATATACTTGAACGCAATCACGATATTTGTAATATTTTCCACAAATTTGACATTCAACGTTCTACTTATCATAAGCATATAGTATTTCTTTTAATTTCAATAGAATTTTTTCTGTAAAATGTAATCTGGTTACATTTTAAAGTCGTTAATATTTCGTATGTTTTGAATTGTTTCGTAATTTGTATATGGCTGTTCAAGATGGCGGTAAATGTAGAGGCTGTTAACCGGGCATGGAATGTGATATGCGAATCTCTTACACCAGGAAAGGTAAATCGGTAGAGACTTTTAAGTCTCGAAACAGAGAAATCAGATTGAAACAAAGCAAAAATACCCTATAATGTTTATGTTGATTTTAGTATTTATTGGTTGATTTTAGCATTACTGCTTTCACCAAAATACTTCATCAGTTTAATATGAATAATGATAAAGGCATTTGGAGCGATATTTCATATATATTTCATGTAGCAACAGTAATTATTTAACATAAAGTTTAAGAAACACTTCTTTCCTTTAATGTTGTGTTTATTGTGTTCCTTACTTGTTCATTGTGTTTCGTTTTCCTATTCTTTCGGACAATCTCTGTATGTTTGCCGAGTAAGATACTAATCGCGTAGTCTTGTTCAGCCAAACTCTCGTTGTCTACACATCAGATGGAGTGTCAATCACCTTGATAAGCGAGACTATTGTCACTTGTAGGCAGCTGTAACTATAAGACTAGTTGAACCTGCAAGAAATACACCATTTCAGATAGGGACTGAGACTGGACTGTGGAATATCTTGCACATGTACTTGAGATTGAGAGTCCAGCCGTACCTGTCCGAAACTTACTTGCTGAATATCATTGGTTTTTAAAAACTTCAGCATCATTAGGGTCGGAACGCTCACAATTTTCTAGAAGCATTGTGCTTTTAAGTTGAAGTGAAATAGATGGTATCTTAATTTTAGTTACTTGAAGTTGTTTTATGCTCAACAGGAAATTCTGAAACAGAGCATTTTGAACTTTACATGTGTAGAAGAACAGGGAAAATACACATTCCTGTCGAGTGCCCCGACCAGGAATCAAACCCGGGTCTCTGGTGTGATAAGCCAGTGCTCTACCAACTGAGCCAAAGAAGCATGCTCCGTCAGCTGAGTGACAGAGACCGTATTTAACACTATGTACAAGCCACACCGACCCACTCCTTTTACACTACTCCCCCATTTTTCTTGAGATTTCTCCTAAATCTCAACCCAAGATACTTCAACCACCACCGTGGGTTTTGTAGTTGGACGTCAATGTAGAAGAACAGGGAAAATACATATTCCTGTCGAGTGCCCCGATCAGGAATCGAACCCGAGTCTCTGGCGTGATAAGCCAATGCTCTACCAACTGAGCCAAAGAAGCATGCTCCGTCAGCTGAGTGACAGACCGTATTTAACACTATGTACAAGCCACACCGACCTGCTCCTTTTACACATGTACATTCATGTATTGTGGAACATATAAACTATTTCAACCAGGTTATGCGAAAGCAGCCTATTTGTTGCTATGCCCGCCATGTTGCTATCCGCCATTGATGCAAAGCATTACTGGGAATTGCACTTCTGTGTCACAACTTCATGACGATAATATATGTGAACATTTTTCATTTTGCTTCTTACTGGATGTTATCTTAAGGACTTGCTTAAGTGGTTCCTGTGAGGATGCTTGAGCTATGCTTGAGATGGATGGGAACTTGATTTTAGTGAATTGCTCAATTCTTGACAGGAAATTCCAAAACTGTGCATTTTGAGCTTTACATATATCAGGTCCAATATCCAGTACATGTGCGTTCGTGTATAGTGGAATAATTCCACAACACCTGAACCATTTCTACTGGGTTATGCAAAAGCAGTCTAATTCTTCACTGGATTACTATTTCCGATTTAGGATGTCCATACAATTATCATTATCATGGAAAGGACGACAATTCAGTTTAATGTACAATTTCCAAGTCATTAAAGAGCAATGTTTGTGCTCCATTCGATTATCATAAGGTGTATGTTGGATACTTTATGAAATGACAATTCCTTGCCTCTGTACATGGTCCTGTGACAAGCCCAAATTTAGTTCGATCACAGGGAAATGTTGGTATATAGTCTCCTAAAATGAAATTAGCGATGAAAAGGGGTATATAAAAGAAATCCTTTATATATTTTTGACATTGCCCAGAAAACACTTCCACATTTGCACTAAATTTTCCCAATGACCATACAGTGTAGTCAATGGAGAAAAAAGGTCATGAATGATACAAATTGTCATCTTAGCACACCATTAGAACAGTGATACTTTGGCTATATATACATATAGATTGTAAACTGGGTCATGTCAAATAGATGACACCCTTTTTATCTAAAATGTTTTTAAAAACTCTTGTTTCAATTTTAGATATTCTTATATTTGGGTTAAAAGCTATCTATGTGTGTTAAGTGGCCAACCTGATAAAACTGGGAAACAAATAAACTTTAATTTTTTTTAGCCCACCATCTAACAAATCGCCCTGCGTCCATGGTCCGTCGTCTGTCCGTTGTCCGTCCGTCCGTAAACAATTTTTGTTGCCGCTATTTCTGAGAAAGTACTGGATGGATCTTTCTCAAATTTCATATGTAGTTTCCCCTTGGTCCCTAGTTGTGCATTGTACCTTTTTTGGACTGATTCGAATTCAAGATGGCAGACAGGTGGCCATCTTGCATTTTGAATATAAAAGTTTGTTACTGCTATTTCTTGGAAAGTACTGGATGGATCTTTCTCAAATTTCATATGCAGGTTCCCTTTGGTTCCAAGTTGTGCATTATACCTTTTTGGACTGATCCAAAATCCAGATGGCTGACAGGCAGCCATCTTGGATTTTGAGAGTAAAATCTTGTTACTGCTATATCTGAGGAAGTACTGGATGGATCCTTCTGATATTTCATAGATATTGGTTTCCCTTGGTCCCTAGTTGTGCATTGTACCCTTTTTGGACTGATTTGAAATCAAGGTGGCCCACAGGCAGCCATCTTGGATGTCGACAGTAATACAGCACAAGCATATTGTCCATTATCCACCTGTAACTGACTGCTATCTAATAATACTTTGGGATCTTTTTCAAATGATATTTGCTAATAGGTGCTTAATAAAAATATCTTGTGCCATCATTGAGTACATTCAATGAAGACCAGTTCATGAACATTTACAACACCTGTAACAAACAAAAAAAATAAACAAATCTTCAAGAACTGAAAACAGATCCTCAAATGGTGGGCGCCAAGATCCCTCTGGGATCTCTTGTTTAAATGTAAGATAATCAAATGTTTGTATTAAATATACTTTTGTAACAAAATACACATAACGGTGTGTGTCAAAGACTAAGGTTTTTTTTTCTGTTTCAGACTCCAAGATCTCTCAGTAACTCTGAAGTAGAATTCCAAAATTCTATTCAGATTTTGATTCAACATAGTCTTGGTCATATTATTGAAGAATGGTTTCTGGAAAACCTGCAGCAGTACTTACGGCTACAAGTAGTTTCAAAATTTTGGTCATATTTTGAGCCATCTTCCAACAGTGACATTGCTGTGGATTGTACAGAACAATTATCACAAGCTGTGGAATATCTCCACACTGTTGTGTCAGATTATGTCCCATGCTTCAATAGACTAGAGTCTGTTAGCCAGCTGAGTCAGTGCCGTAAGCCATCATTGTTGATCCATGCAGGCTCACTGTCCAGCACATTCATATTGTTGATCAAGGCTGTGGTGTTTAACTTGATCCCACGTACATTCAAGGATGCAGTGGATGTGTTCTACTCACAGGCATTCAAAGTCTTTCACCACAGTAGTTCAGAAGAGGAACAAGGTGATGTATTAATACAAGTACATGGTACATAATACTATCAATGTGGAGTTTTTAGAGTGACATATCACATGAGACCTGGAACATGCTAATACAAAATTATACATGTATGTGTATCTAATTAGTGCCATTTTCTGTACCATGAGATACTATGAAGTAATCTGATACTTGAATACCTTCCAGCATCCTGACATGCTGCTATTATAACTAACAATTAATGTAATTGTTTCTTCATGTGATGTACAAAACTTACATATTACATCTTTTGTTTTATATAAATGAATACATGCATATGAAATGGTGTAAACATAGCATGAGATAGAATAGGTATTTATCTACATGTTAATGAATTGCATCCTTAGTATCATTTTTACCTGAAACATGGAAGAAGTATTCTTTACGGGTGGCATCAATAAAAATTTCCAAACTTCTTTGACACTTGGAAAAGATCCTTGATGTCTGATAGCTTTCAAATGGTGAATTATTGTGTAACTATCTTAGCATTTTCTGTTTTGTGGAAAGACATGTACAAAGAATATAACATTTACAATTTTCTTGACCTGATGTATTTTACTCTTCCAGATGATGATGAAGAATTGGCAGGTTGTAAGGGGTGTGGTCAGGGCATTGACAGATGTCGATGTCAGGAAATCATGGTCAGATTCCACAAGCTTAATGCAAAGCTGTGAGTAAACCATCAGAATTCTTCATAATTGGACTCTAGACTTCCCTATCGATATTTGTGAAGCTTCTGTATCTCTCTGTATTAAAACTTGACTCATCATTAATCTGAAAAGGATATTCAGGATGTGTTTGTAAATATCTTACAAAAATGAAATATCAAGAGAAAACAATGTAGAAGAACCAACACACTATATTTCTCAGATTGCGGCTAGGTTCCTGAATGGATACCAGAAGTATTCTTTAAAGCTCCTTACAATGTGGTCAGCATAAAGCGAAATGTTGATGTTGAGAATCCTTTGTTTTCGCTTTACGTTAAAAATTAAATTTGTACAAGAGAGGAAATGTACCTTAGATAAAATAAAAATTGTGAAAACTAGGGCATCCAAAACTATTTAACAACATAATTGTGAATACTTAATATATAGGTAGTTTGAAAATTGTGTACCAAATGTACTTTGTAAATTTCAACTTGTAATACATTACATGATGTGATGCTTCAGCTTTCACATTTTCAAGATATATATACCTGGTAGACACTTGTGTAATTGAATGATGAAGTCATCATAGCAGATGTTGTATAAGAATGATAAAAGGGATGTTTAGAAATGATGAAGTAGATAATACAGTCATTACATTACTGTATAGGATGTTATATTATTTGACAGAGATGACATTGGGATATTGGAGCGTGTATCAGGGTCAGCTGTCACAGCCATTGTGCATGAGAGAATTAAGCAACATGTAGAGAGTACATGTAAAGGGAACTTTGAAACATCTTACCTGGAAAATCTCCAAAGTGTAATACCTGATTATCTTCTATTCTAATGTGATTCAAACAATGATCAGTCATTTTACATATTTTAATGGAAACTGAAATTGATGATATTTTTAGAACTTCCGAACAAAGATGATTCTATAGCTATTACATGATCTTACCTACTATATGTCTTGCACAAAGATGATTGTATTATCTATGTCATTTTAATTCAGCATACTTTTTAAGCAGCTTGTGCTAAAGTAAATTTATATAGCAATGATAAATTAAATGATTACTGCAACACAAAAATGTAAATGAATGTGATGAAAGGGAAAAACTATTCCAGACATGACCTTAATTTGTCCTACAAATTTTGGAGAAGGATTATTTGAATAAAAAATAATGTTTCATTAAGTTTCAACACATTTCTATGGTAGGTTTCTTGATCTTAAAGTTTCAAAATTGAAGATAATATATATTGTTTCACATGTAAATTATTTTGTTTTAGTGGTTGGAAACAAAAGTGCTAGGCTGGCTCCATCTTGTGTATTCCGATGAAAGACGTCACACAACTGCAGACTGCATTTCAGGATTTAAAGGCAGGCTTCTCCATTTCTTATTTGAGACATTTGCCAAAACACAGATTGATCAGCTGTTCAACATTATCATAGAGTACCCGGAGTCAGAACCTGCTATATTAGATCTGAAAGTTTGTCTGGAGAAAACAGATCAGCGACCTCATCTGGTTACTTCACTGAAATCAGCATTGGAGACCAGACTACTGCACCCAGGTCAGAAACACTCCGTACTTCTTTAAATGTAAAACACTACATCAAAATCAAGAGATGGAGTCAAAAAGGAAAATTCAAAGGATGAGTGAATTTAGACACTCTCACTTTATTAAACTTGTAGAAAAATACAGTATATAAACATGTACAGGTAATACCACATACTTTTGTGGTAGTTTTACATCTGTTTTACCTTTCTTACCAAGAAGGCCAAAATAAAAAATTAGTTAATTTTTTATATTAAAGCTGGAATGCAATATGCACATGTTATATGTATGTGTATTTTGGGGCAAATGACCCTGGGCAAATGTTTCCCCATATATAGAAATACTAAAATTGAATAAAATCCAATTTATTGAGGAGATTTATGGTGATTTTTTAAAAGTTGGTAACAGTGATAATGTAGCCTTTCAGATTTGTAACCTTTCTAATTCTAAATTCCAACAGGTGTGAACACTTCTGATATTCTCACTGCGTACATTGCTGCTATCCGTGCTCTCAGAGTGCTCGATCCTGCAGGAGTGATTTTAGAACTTGTTTGTGATCCCGTCAGAAAATATCTTCGGTAAGATAGGAGTTTAGTAGAGCACAAAATGCTTTGTTGTGTAAGAGTTACTTGGAAGAATTTCATATTTGATCAAATTCTGCAAAACATTGTATATATATATATATATCTATATATTTGAATAGAATGGAATCAACACAGCAAATGTATTCTGCTAACCTTTTTCAGGCCTAACGCCCACCTTCAGGCAATACATTTATAAAACGTCTTGGTAACAACATTGTGACGTCATACATAATACATAAGAGAAGGGGAGATAACGTTATCGTTCGCAGTATATTGACATTACATTTATGTGCGTTTATTATTTATTAAATATGTGTAAAAGATTTTTTCAAAACATTAACTAGCATTGAGAGCTGGTTTAAATAGTTTGACAAACATTTCTTCTTTACACAGTTTTTTTGTCGCACCCAAATCAGCCACTTCATAAAAAGGAAAAATTAAAAAAGTTCCTTTCCCACATATATCTAGGTGTTCACTAAGTGGTATTTTATGTGTCTCAGGTGTGCGTATTCACTGCTTGTGGACCCAAACTCTCTCACTAAGTTTATTTCCTGTTTGGCCGATGAAGTGTTTCTGGCAGGTTGGACAGACTATCACATATGTTTAAATTCTTACTTTTGCCGTTCAGATTATTGTTTGGTTTTATTGTTTTTCCATTCTTTAAAGTCAGATGATCGCCGACATGTATGTACTCGCATGTTCCACATCTAGATTCTCCATATTTCACATTTGGTTACAGAAAAACTTTGTGTTTCAGAATCATCAAATTTGGCCCTAGTTAGAATTCTTTTGAGATTGGCTGGTTGCTGTTTACTTTGTAGAATTTCTGATGCTCATACCAAATTCCGCATTTTTTCACTTTTATGTAACAAAGGGATAGCGTCCTTTGCTGTATGGATTATGTTGTTGTAGCAAGGATTGTGTGTTATAACAAATGGTTTTATATCTTTTACTTATTGGAGTACACTTTGTTCTCCTTTTGTAAAGTGTTATTAATTTGCAATACCATTCATGTTCAATATTGTAAATCGCTTGATATCCAAACCTATGTAATCCTTCCTTGACTTTATTGAGCCCAGGTCTCGAGATGACACTGTACGCTGCATTGTCTCTAACCTTACTGATGATGGGAGCAATGAGTTATTAGATGAACTCATTAAAGGTCAACCCCTCCTTCTCGATGAGGGTTGCCATAGTGATGATGAAGATGAAGATTGGGAAAAGTGGATCCCAGATCCTGTTGATGCTGATCCTTGTGAGTTGGTTTAAATAATCTAGACTAGCTCTATAGAGAATAGCATATCTAGACTGACTCTGTCTGGCTGAATTTTGACAGACTCTATCTAGACTAGCTTATCTTAACTGATATCTAAAGAAGTTTATCATCATGTAGCTTTTTTATTAGTCTTTCTTATTATTTACCAGCTTAAATGTTTACTTTTATTTACCAAGCGACAACGTCCAAGAGTAGACGAGCATCTGACATCATTAGTATGTTGGTGAACATCTATGGCAGTAAAGAATTGTTTGTGAACGAGTACCGAACTTTGTTGGCAGACCGCATTCTCACACAGTTTAATTATGACATAGAGAAAGAGATCCGCTACCTTGAGTTGCTCAAACTGCGGTTTGGTGAAGCACAACTCCACTATTGTGAAGTCATGCTGAAGGATGTTGCCAACTCTAAACGTCTCAATTCTCGAGTGGTTGAAGAGAGGTCGAAAGGCACACCACAGGTAAGGGTCACAGGTGTATACTGAGGGAGTATTTTGCAGATTGTGAATTAAGGTATTGGTAGCAGCATATTCACTTCCCAGAGTCAGGAGAAGCTTAATTCAGACCTGTAACCGAGGGCTTGAAATAACAATGATATAGATGTTTCTTCTTGGAAATCACAATGAAAATTATTGTTAGCATGAGAAAGCATACCATACTCTCAATTACTGTATCGTTGCCACATTAGAAAAGCAATGTGCAAAGCCTGAGAAGTTCTGGTAACTCAGTATAGTTTTGAGGAATTAAAGCTTAACTTGATATTGACATATATTTGAAGCAACTATATACATTTTGTTACCTAAAGACAGAAAAAACTAATGAAGTCAGGATATGATGAATTTTTTTTTGTTTATATTGGTGATGCATTATTCAATCTTTCTTTGATCAAACTTGTGTTATAGCAGTCATATGTAGTATAATAAGCATTTCAAAGTTATTTTTAAATGAGGGCTCTCATTTGATACACAATCAGCACTATATGATAATTACTTAACTTCCTTTCCTCCTGCATTTAGAAAAACCCTTTATTATTGGAGTGTCTGCTTGTGAAACATTACAAGGAAGATACCTTTATTTCAGTGATGATTTTGCTATACACAATTTTATAGATTTCCTGGTTTGTAAAGCATGCTGGTACAATTTTGATTATTTTCTTTTCATTGCAAATTACAAAGTGTTCGTAGTGTGACAGTATATATATTTATATGGGGAAAATTCAGTCAAATCTTTCCATATTTAGAAATGACAATAATATTAAGTTAATGTTTAACAAGTTATGACTCAGACCTTAATATAATACTCGTTGCTGTCTCTATCCGCCTGAATACAATTACAGGAGATTGAAGTGAATGCTATGATCCTATCGGCCCAGTTCTGGCCAGCATTCCGGGAGGAGAAAATAGCACTGCCAGATATAATGCAGAACTCTCTAGAATGTTACACTAAAGTATATGAAACGCTGAAAGGCAACCGTACTCTCAACTGGAAGCCTCACCTTGGTAAGATGTATTGTAGGGTTCACAGGATTTCATGTTATGTCTTTAATACTTATATATGATAATTCTACTATGCACTGAACTGATCTTATTTTTTGATGTATTTTTAAATTGAAGAATGCACTTAAATGTTACAAAAACACAATACAGGTACACTTTACAAAAACTTCACACATGGAAAAGTTTCTCCATGAAATTAGGGTCAAAAATATTTTTGAAAAATTTGTGCCTTTTAGCATTTCTTTGGAACCTTGATTTATTTCGAGCTCTCTGAAGAAAGTTACCTCTCAGTGACAACATGAACTATTTTGTCTATCTAAAGATAATCCCCATATATCACAACCCACATTTACCAAGAGAAACGTGTAGCAGTCTCATCTAACAGTATGAGAATTGTTATTATATTCTCAGTTCAAGTGTCATTCAGTATTAGGACTTAATATATAAGTTTCCAATTGTGCACCAGGCAATGAAGTGTAACCGGTTCACAACTGATTTTGAAATGAAAGAACTGACATTGATATATTGATTCTGGCAGCAAATAGTAAATGTAATTTTGATTGGAAAGAAAAATAGGGGATGCAAAATAAGAAATGACAGATAAGATTTAACTGTCAGTTTGGCATTGTTATTACAGTCTTAACTTTTTCCAAGAAAAGGTTGGAGTTGTGCGAAAACAGGCAGGCGTTTTGTATTGTTCATTTACATCTTCTCAGCTGATGATTTCAAAACAGTTTACTAATTTTTTAATGAGCCCATAATGGTAACAAAAGGAAATCACATGTATTGTATTTGATTGCTTCAATCATATTTTCTTATTGTGTATATTTATCTCAACATTAATTAAAATTTGTGTTAGAAATTACATTGTATCTTAAATTGTGATATTCATTGACTATAACATGACATTCATGATGATAATACTATTAGATGTAAACTCTTCTCCTGTATTACAAAACATATTAACAAAAATTATTAGATATTGGTGTTGTAGTTCCTGGTATTGTCAAACTTTCAGATGGTATTTTTTTCTATTAGATGTGATGTAATCATTGTTTTACTTACTTAATTCACAGGTTTGGTGAATGTAGACATAGAATTAAAAGACAGGACCTTGACCTTCAATGTATCGCCTGTCCATGCTGCTATTATAATGCAGTTTGAAAATCAAGGTAATATTGTATTAGAGCACAGTTATTGTCTGTCAGATCTCATTTGGTTACAATTTCAAAAAGTCACAATTAGAAGTTTACATTGTGATGAACAGTAATTACATTGTGATGAACAGTAATTACATTGTGATGAACAGTAAGTGATAAAGTTTCATTTAAATTGGTTCTCCTTTTTTATAATAAATCAGACACTGCATGTTTTCCTAATGAAAAAAAAACCATACATCCATTTCGGTATATTGATTGCACCACAGCAAAACTTCTACAAAGTAGAGCAGTTACCTCCCTTCATCCACTATTTGATTTGTACCGTTTTACTTTGTGCACGAAATTGAATTTTGCAGTATCTCATTAATATCTCTAAAGTTTAATTATTTTAAAAACAATTGTTTGATGGTATAAAAATTGTTGTATTCCAGCTCGTTGGACCATAGAGGATCTTAGCAATGTACTACAGATGCCTGCCACAGCACTGCGGAGGAAGATAGCATATTGGCAGACACAGGGACTACTCAAAGAGGAGACTACAGATACCTTCATCCTCATTGAGGAACACAAAGGACGTACACATGACGTCATCATCACTGATGATGATGAGGCAGAATCAGCTATGGCATCAGCCCATGCTCAAAGGGAAGAGGAGTTACAGGTATGGTTGTCAATCAGTGTTAAGTGATGGACTTTTAATTTTTGTACTGTTATTAAAATTTTGACAAAGCAATGATTTTAAACTTGATTATGTGCCATGCTTCAATGCAATGTTTGATTTCCTTCTTAGCATTAAACTATATTAACTCCAATCTCATTATATTGGCTTATGTAGAAATTATCTTGATTAGAGAATTTTCTGATACAGGAATTATTATTTAATGATTAATGTTACAAAGGAGTACCAGGTATTGCTTCTTCAACATCAGGTGTTGCAATAGGCAAATGTGTAGCCATCAAGCCATATCAGTGATTTATCATTTAACCATATGTCTAGACAATTAACCATGTTGAAAAATTCTTTCATCAATTTTTTCATGAGACTGACAAGGTCTAAACATTTGTCCTAATCTATATACAATATACAGAAAAGTAATCTTGAACATTTCTTAAATAATATTGGAAACTTAAATCCAAATTTACCAGTAATGTTTTGGTCTTGGGTTCCAGGATAAGTGACTAGATTAGTAATATTACAGAATAACAAAGTCAAGTGTTAGACTCAGTTTGAAGTAATCTTATTTCCTTCAGATCACTGTTTCTTTTTCCCATGTATTTCTCACTTATGTTACACCTCTAATGTCATTGTTGTTTCTGTACAGGTTTTCTGGTCCTATATAGTTGGTATGCTAACAAACCTGGAGAGTTTGCCCTTGGAGAGAATACATAGCATGTTGCGTATGTTTGCCATGCAGGGACCGTCCGCACTAGAATGTAGTGTACCAGAGCTGAAAGAATTTCTCGACAGAAAAGTCAAGGAACAAAAACTTATATATTCTGCAGGAGTGTACAGATTACCCAAACCAAGCTGATCAAAACTATCTACAAAATCTAATTGTGATGTGTAGACTGAGCTAGCAACAGCTCTGTTACACAGATAAATGACTGCAGACTAGTTTAGCTCTCAGTCTGTTTAATCTTTCCCAGCCAATCAGTTGACAACAAAGCATTATGTTGCTCTTTGTATATACTGCACAGAAAGTAGCATGAGGTTGACTAAGCTGAATATTAACCAGATAACAAGTCTGTTATTTGTGGAGACTTCTCTCTGTGAACCAACCTATGGTGTAAGACGGTATGATCAATGAGAACAAGAACCAACCTATGGTGTAAGACAGTATGATCAATGTCAGATGTACTGAAGTGTTGTTCAGATGTCTTACACTAGAATATGTCAGATGTACTGAAGTGTTGTTCAGATGTCTTACACTAGAATATGTCAGATGTACTGAAATGCTGTCCAGATGTCTTACACTAGAATATGTCAGATGTACTGAAGCGTTGTCCAGATGTCTTACACTAGAATATGTCAGATGTACTGAAGTGTTGTTCAGATGTCTTACACTAGAATATGTCAGATGTACTGAAGTGTTGTTCAGATGTCTTACACTAGAATATGTCAGATGTACTGAAGTGTTGTTCAGATGTCTTACACTAGAATATGTGTGTTGTTCAGATGTCTTACACTAGAATATGTCAGATGTACTGAAGTGTTGTTCAGATGTCTTACACTAGAATATGTCAGATGTACTGAAGTGTTGTTCAGATGTCTTACACTAGAATATGTCAGATGTACTGAAGCGTTGTCCAGATGTCTTACACTAGAATATGTCAGATGTACTGAAGTGTTGTTCAGATGTCTTACACTAGAATATGTCAGATGTACTGAATATGTGCTGTCTTACAGATGTCTGTACACTAGAATATGTCAGATGTACTGAAGTGTTGTGTCTTACACTAGATGTCAGATGTACAGCGTTGTTCTGTCTTAGAATATGTCAGATGTACTGAAGTGTTGTTCAGATGTCTCTGAAGTGTTGTTCAGATGTCTTACACTAGAATATGTCAGATGTACAGATGTCTAATATGTCAGATGTACTGAAGTGTTGTTCAATATGAATATGTCAGATGTACTGAAGTGTTGTTCAGATGTCTTACACTAGAATATGTCAGATGTACTGAAGTGTTGTTCAGATGTCTTACACTAGAATATGTCAGATGTACTGAAGTGTTGTTCAGATGTCTTACACTAGAATATGTCAGATGTACTGAAGTGTTGTCCAGATGTCTTACACTAGAATAAGTGTTGTTCAGATGTCTTCTAGAATATGTCAGATGTACTGAAGTGTTGTTCAGATGTCTTACACTAGAATATGTCAGATGTACTGAAGTGTTGTTCAGATGTCTTACACTAGAATATGTCAGATGTACTGAAGTGTTGTTCAGATGTCTTCACTAGAATATGTCAGATGTACTAAGTGTTGTTCAGATGTCTTACACTAGAATATGTCAGATGTACTGAAGTGTCTTACACTAGAATAGAGATGTCTTACACTAGAATATGTCAGATGTACTGAAGTGTTGTCCAGATGTCTTACACTAGAATATGTCAGATGTACTGAAGTGTTGTTCAGATGTCTTACACTAGAATATGTCAGATGTACTGAAGTGTTGTTCAGATGTCTTACACTAGAATATGTCAGATGTACTGAAGTGTTGTTCAGATGTCTTACACTAGAATATGTCAAGATGTCTTACACTAGAATATGTCAGATGTACTGAAGTGTTGTTCAGATGTCTCTCACAGATGTCTTACACTAGAATATGTCAGATGTACTGAAGTGTTGTTCAGATGTCTTACACTAGAATATGTCAGATGTACTGAAGTGTTGTTCAGATGTCTTACACTAGAATATGTCAGATGTACTGAAGTGTTGTTCAGATGTCTCTCACTAGAATATGTCAGATGTACTGAAGTGTTGTTCAGATGTCTTACACTAGAATATGTCAGATGTACTGAAGTGTTGTTCAGATGTCTTACACTAGAATATGTCAGATGTACTGAAGTGTTGTTCAGATGTCTTACACTAGAATATGTCAGATGTACTGAAGTGTTGTATGTCAGATGTCTTACTTACTAGAATATGTCAGATGTACTGAAGTGTTGTCAGATGTACTGAAGTGTTGATGTCTTCTTCACACTAGAATATGTCAGATGTACTGAAGTGTTGTTCAGATGTCTTACACTAGAATATGTCAGATGTACTGAAGTGTTGTTCAGATGTCTCTCACTAGAATATGTCAGATGTACTGAAGTGTTGTTCAGATGTCTTACACTAGAATATGTCAGATGTACTGAAGTCAGATGTACTGAAGTGTTGTTCAGATGTCTCTCACTAGAATATGTCAGATGTACTGAAGTGTTGTCCAGATGTCTTACACTAGAATATGTCAGATGTACTGAAGTGTTGTTCAGATGTCTTACACTAGAATATGTCGGATGTACTGAAGTACTGTCCAGATGTCTTACACTAGAATATGTCAGATGTACTGAAGCGTTGTTCAGATGTCTTACACTAGAATATGTCAGATGTACTGAAGTACTGTCCAGATGTCTTACACTAGAATATGTCAGATGTACTGAAGTGTTGTTCAGATGTCTTACACTAGAATATGTCAGATGTACTGAAGTCAGATGTTGTCTTACACTAGAATATGTCTGTACTGACTGTCTTAGAATATGTCAGATGTACTGAAGTACTGTCCAGATGTCTTACACTAGAATATGTCAGATGTACTGAAGTGTTGTTCAGATGTCTTACACTAGAATATGTCAGATGTACTGAAGTACTGTCCAGATGTCTCTCACTAGATTATGTCAGATGTACTGAAGCGTTGTCCAGATGTCTTACACTAGAATATGTCAGATGTACTATAGTGCTGTTAAGATAACTTAGGACTTTCAAATCTGGTTTACAGTCTTATTGTGATACTTTTTACTCAAGAAGTGGAATTAGTAGTATGTGAATCCAGAGATTTTTTTAACCAATCTTCAACCCCCTCTTCGGAAAGGATATGTTAGATGTGTTACATTTTCTTTTCTATAGTGACAAAAGAAACGTTCATGTTGCCATGATATATATATTGTAGAAATATTAATGACTTGGACAAAGGAAGGATATTGTTTAGACAGAATGTATTTTTGCACATTCTTCGAGACTACATGTGGTAGACACTATTGATAAGCCTTGGTTCCTTAGGTTTGCTAAACCTGTATGCTATGTTTTGATTAATTGGAATAGTGGCACAGTTCAGAATATACAATAGTACCTTACATGTTTTTTTAAATGATTAAAAAAAATTGCGAAATTTGTTTAATTTTCGGGGTCAATGAACCTCCCCATCTGGTTTTTGAAGTTTATTTCAACTGATCTCGATATTCTTCTTTCAACTCCTTGGCTTTAACAATTGAGGCCATTAGACTTGACTCACAAGTCCTAGAAGGTCGTGTTTATCACTAGCTCTCAACTTCTTGGTCGCGAGTTCGAGGCCAACGTGGGGCAGTTGCAAGGTACTGACCACTGGTCGATGTTTGCCTTCGGGAACTTGGCACATCCTTAAACGACCCTGGCTGTTAATTGGACGTAAAACAACAACAAACTGAACTAAACCTAGAATTGAAACAGCTGTATGATGCAGTTTATTTCATTATTTGGCTGTACTGTTTTGTGCTAAACTTTGTATCTTTTTGTACAATCTTGACACTAGTTCACTGTACGATTTATTGAATTCATATTTACTCGTCGTCTCTGACAAATTACTGTTAAATAGCGCGAGTTAAATCTGGTATTTAAGTAATGCACATATTTGACACTAAATATGAACATTTGACAGTAGTTCAGCCTTAAACACTTCAAATGACTGTCAAATTTTACTATAACTCTGAAAGGAAACATCAAAGCCTAATTGCCAGGTGTTTTCATATTATCAGGAAATTAAGCATGAATGAAAGAAAACACTTTTGAAACATATGCGCTACAACTAACAAATAATGAGACTGCAATCGGTATTTAAAAAGAAGACTGCTTCCAATTTTGGCCTCAGGACGCTGTGTAAACATTTATAATTAAACAACCTTTTTATTTTCTTCGTTTCAATTCAGTTATTTATGGTGTGTATTTTGTTCACGATTGTCAAGAACATTGTTATAAATTGACTTGGGATATAATAGTATGACAAGGAAAATTTTAATCGTCTAAATGTCTGCTTAAATGCGAGCAATTAGGCCTATTTACTTCATTGTTGTAGTAGAGTGTGAGAAGAGAACGGCCCGGATGACTCTTTGTTCAATGGACATCTTGCTGCTTTTTATACTTGATTTATACTCAGATAATATAAAGTTGTTGATAATTATATAGACAAAAAATAAATATTCATTTCACACGGAACAACGTTTACACCGAAGAGTGAAATTATGTAAAGACAATATCGACTGGAGTTCAGTTTTCCCGGCAAGTCTCTGTCAATCCCATTGATAACACCTAATACATTGTTCCTTATAGTTTTGTAGAAAGTTTGAACCGGAGAATAGGAGTATATTTCATACCCCATTAAGTATTTTCTTTCTAACACGATATCTCTAGTCATCTGTACATGGTAATGTCAATCATCTTGAATACGCGATGCAATAAAAAATGGATTTTGACAGTGTCATTTAAGTCTCCAAAGTTCCCAAGTAAATACAGAAACGTCAATTCTGCTTTCGTATCGCCAAGAACCGATTAAATAAAACAGAGATTGCGTAAGAACTTGAGACTAAATGTTTGATGAACGGAGAGAGAATTTAGTAGCTTGTTAACCTAGGTGTTGCTTGATCTATATAGCCTATCTAAATAGTTAAATATACTCGTTTCTAGAATGTGTATTGTTAATGAAGCAAAATTGTCTGTGCAGATCTAAAATGATGACCAATTTGGTTCAGGTCCTGCCAACACTAAACAGCTTAGAAAAAGGATGGAAGCATGTACCAGATTTGAGTTTCATAAACCGTTGTCCCTGAAATTATCAAGAATTAATAAGGTATAATCAGTTCAGTTCGCCAATACATAGCAAAGCGAAAGTGCTGTATAAAGTAAGTGAACATAACCTACTGGCGAGGGGGGTGGGGGTAATGCTTCATAATGTCAGATAGCGCAAGCATTGTTCAGGACAGTGTACTGTAAGAGTAGATTAGAAATCCTGTTCTATTGTTTTCTAAATGCTTTAATTAAACAACTTTATACTAATATACACTTCACATGTAGAGAACTTATGTTGTGATATAATTATACCATCTAAAAGCCTGAGTAGATAATAGAACTTGTTATCTTCGGGTAATAAATGGACTGCGTATTGAATGGGAGTCATCCGAGTATGATTTCATCTTTAATAGATAAGCGCGAATGAGTGGCTCGCCTGTCAACAGGTACCGAGAATGTGATCTCCATTGTCAGCGACTTACAGACAGCAAACCAAGCCGGTAAATTTATTCCATGTTTGAGTGGTGAATCCTGTAAAAAAAAACCTCACCAACAGAAGAACCGGAAAGACCACCGAC